GCAACCGAGTTTTGTGTTTTTTGGTTCTGTTCATGTTTAGTGCGTGGGCGGGGGGGGGGGGGTTCAGTTGTTTTGTTCTGTTCATGATTTTAGTTGGGGGGGGCTGCAAACAACACAAAGTGTTTTCTATCATGCCAAGGGTCGAACAGCCAAGCCCTTGTTTCCTGACTGCGATCTGGGGGGTTGATCAAAACGTCATTGCAAGGAGTTATGTATTCTGTGATCATTGGGTGTTGGTTCAAATCCCTCACGAAGATGGCGTTTTCCGGAAACACGATATTGTTCCACGGCAATTTGCTCGGAACTTGAAGCTTTACCTTTTGGGGAACATGTTGCAAACAAGATAGACTTGGGCAGAAAGTAGTAGCCATCCACCATGATGTCTGTCCCGCTCAAACGAAACCAAGCTCCGCCAGCAACACATTTCGCCTGTATGAATCAAAGAGGGCAAGTTTAGAGTGAATCAATTCACTCATTTGCTCGGCTTTCTAGGTCGCACAAATTTTCTAATGTGAAAAAATATGGTTGGAGCCAGTAGATGGAACTCCGACTCGACAAAATTCAGCGACGAATCAGCGAGATTTGCAAAGATCTTAGCTCGGTTCTCGCACTTCGCTCTTCTGTTTGTCTCAATCCCGTTGCTGGACCTTTGTTTTCCACTTTGTTGAGACTCGGCCATTTTAGCGGCGGACAAGTCTTGTGTTCTTATTGCTTTGCAGCCATCCACGCAAAAAGTGAGCCAATTGGGGGGGGGGTGCAAAGATAAAGTGTGTTTGTTTTGCTCATGCGTACCAGGGGTCTGTTCAACAAAAACCTGGGCAGTGTTTCATGTTCCAGGGCTTTTCGCGGTGTTCAATCAATTTGGGTTCTTTTGAAGAGGCTTCCCCGCTCAGGTCCAACCCTGCCCGACCCTCGCTCGGATCGAGGTGAGGCTTGAGCCGGGAGGGTGTTTCACCGTGAGAGCTCTTGGAGATAAATTGCGGAGAAGTGGGACACTACAGCGAGGCCAGTTGCTCTTCTTTAGGCCTAAGCCTGAACGCTCGAATGTGGAAGCAAGCAAAAAAGCTTGGAGATAAAGCGTCTTCCCAAGCCATATTTGCCCAGCTGCGCACTTGTGAAAGCCCATGTAGACCCTATGCATATAGACTTTGCGGTTAATTAGTATCGGATCTTTGGACACTTGAACTGTTTGGCTGAAACAGGTCGGATGTTCCATTGGGCCCACAAGAAGTTGAAATCTGTGGGCAGAGGGGGTCAACAGCATCCAAGAAGTGAAAGCCATTTTTTACAGTGGCACACACCCGACATGAACCCGGAACTGCGGGTTTGATGAAGCTTTCGTTTAAGGTCTGTCGGGCTGGTCGGGCGTGTATTTCTTTCGACTGGTAACCTTGTTTTGCTCACTGCCCCTGATGGAACATGCACGACCGTTGCGCTTGGAGCAAGCGGGCGCTACTCTAGGGAGTCTCGGAGATAGGCATCGCATAGATTCGCTTTTCGTATCGGAAAAGAGCGGCGAACATTGCCCGGTGGCAAGTGCCACGGCACTGCCGTGCGGTGCATCTCGTTCTATATCTCTGTGCAGCTGGGTCCCTCTGAAGCATGCCTCTTTTTTAAGTATGCCTTTGACAGTTTTGCGGAGGTCTCGAAATTAGGTTTGGGTTGGTTGCTTTCCTTTAGCCCATCTAGAGCGTCAATCTGATGTCACTTCAACAGACCCAGCTCAGCCTAGGGCCGCCTAGGCCCGCGTGGGCCGCGAGGGCCGCGGCTCAGTTTGCCAGTCTTGCCAGCTTCTGAGCTCAAACAGCAAAGCAAGCAATGCGCCAAGTTACCCTGCAAAGCAAACACGGAGGTGCTCCAAAAGGACTTGTTTGTCTAAAACCGAGTTGATGTTGCTTGGTGGTTCGGGACCAGCCATGCGGTTCAACTTAGGTGTTTAACTTGTCCGTTGGTTTAGTGGTTGGGTTGCCATTTAACCCGCAAGCTAAGGTTTTTGCAGGGGGTCAGAAAACGGACAGCCCAGGTAGGCTCCATGGAGCGAGTAAAATCAAGAAAAACCTTCGTCCCAGAGCTGACCAGAATGGGACAGCACTCGTTCAGCCAGATGGCAGCCAGCCATGTTTGCAGCCATTGTTTAGCACTAAGAATCATGAGACACACAAGGGGGCAATTAAATAGATTTATACAGAATGGGGAACCACATGCGTGGTTCGATATATAAATGGAAGACACATTTTTTGTGGTGGGGGTGGGTTCCCCCTTGCAGTCGTACGCACCGGCCTGAGCCATGATTGCCCTGGGCCAACACCACAGCTTGGTGCTGGCCTTATGCGTAGATCCAAAGTTTTCCGGGTGTGGCTGTTTGAAGTAGGTATCCTTGTTGGTTGGCTGGTTTTCTGGTTGGCTGGTTGCTCGCTTGGTTGCTTGCTTGTTTGCTTGCTGGCTCGGTTGCTTCCTGCTTGGTTGCCTGGCTTGCTTGCTTGCTTGCTTGCTTGCTTGCTTGCTTGCTTGCTTGCTTGCTTGCTTGCTTGCTTGCTTGCTTGCTTGCTTGCTTGCTTGGTTGCTAGGGAAAACATTTTTGGTGCTAACTAAAAGTTAGGACTTTGTTTGGCCCATCCACTCTGCTGGAAGTGAGTACCACAGAAATCAAGAAGAACCCTCTTGGGGGCAAGGGAAACCAGCACAAGACCTCATTGACCCGGGCATGGCTGATGGGGGCGACACGGCTGGTCCATGCGGCTGGCGTCCCAACTCAAGCTGTGTTTTTCTTATTCTGTTTTTTTCTTTTTCAATTTTTATTTGTGTGTTTTGTGTTGTGTTTTTGTTTTGTTTGGCATTTGTGAGGTTCACCTAACATGGACCCAACCAAACATATTGTTTTTTGGTTGGAGGATGGACCCAACTCAACACATTGTTGTTTGGTTGGGGGCAACCACTGATGTACAACAATTGGTTAGTGAACCTATTGGCCGCTTCATATATGAGCGCATACATTCAGCTTTTGGAGTCGTTGTTTTGCGGCTTAAATGATGCCAGTTGTCCCCTCGAAACGTTTAAAGTGCTCAGGGATGTTGCTCCGATTTTTTGGCCAGCTCCTGGACTATCTATACTTTTGGTCGTTTTGGCTAACAAAAAGATACCGTCAGTTTGTGTCAAACCTCTTAGAAAGTAAAAGACTCTTCCGGAGTCTTCTTCTGCAGTCCTCCACGGCTTGTTTATGCTGTTCATGCTGTTTTTTGTTTCTTGTGCCGGGTCTATTTTCTGTTTTGCTTCCCCAATGTGTTGTGCTGTGTTGTTTGTTATTTTTGTTTTGTTTTTTGTGTGTTCTGTGTTGTTTCCATTTTTTGGCACATAGATCCCCAAGTCTGCATCTCCCACCTCCTGAAATCTCCCGATTTGAAGTCGCCAACTGTTCCCATTGGGTATGCGAACTGCTAGTCACTACACTCCACGTTCCGGTTTTTCCAACGGTTTTGCTTTTTGGCCGTTTCCCAGCCCGCAAAATGGTTTTGACCTCAAACAAGAAAGCTTCCATTTGCCGAAGGATATGGTTTTATTTCCCCTGTTTCTCAAGGGAATCTATGTCACTTTGTCACCTGTTGGTTTTAAAGGTAATCTATATCACATATGTTCTCATTTTGAGGCGAAGCACATGGAGCAAAACCAAAGGCCTTGGTATCCCCAGCCCCGGAGGCCCTTGGAACCGAAATCCACTGCGGGTGTTGACTGGGCCGTTTTTTGGGGGGGATGAAGAAAGGCGACCACATGGGCTGGACTGTGGGTCGCTCCTTCATTCCCTTACTTACAGCCCACCAAAAATCTCAAGGCAACCACATCAGCTGGATGGGTTTTCTTGGCCACTCCCTCCTTCCCTTAAAACCCACCAAACTAACCCTTAAAGGCAACCACATCTGCTGGATGGGTTTTAGTCTTTATTTTCGTTGCTCCCCTTCCCTTCAGCAGAATTAGCTCCCTTTTTCCCTTTTTTGCTTTTTTGGGGGTTGTCTTTGTTTTCCACGAACCAGGCAAACAATAATGGGGTTGGTGGAACGCGTGTTTTTGCTACCTTGTTTAACAGAATGCGGTTAATAACAACCATGTGCTCCCCTTGTTTTTTTTGCCGGGGTTCTACTTCCAGCCAAGTACCAACGCCAAGTGTCCAATGATCCGAGGCCTTCACGGACGAGGACTTGGTGGTGGGCTGGGGCGAGAACCACCGGGGCCAGCTGGGGGATGGGTCCCGGGACGCCACCACGCCCAAGAAGGCCGGGCCGGGCTGGGCACACAAGAAGCTGTACAGCTCCTATAAACCCCTGGAATGATTCGATCCTCCGAGGCAAATACCAAAGAGTGGTTTCCCATGGTTGCTGAGTGGTGCAGGATTTCAGTCTCAAAACAAACAATTCCTCAGTTGTTCAGTGGCACCAATTCTGTTTCCCTTCTTTTTTTTGGGGCCCCACTAAAAGTGGTCTTCCCCAACAAGGGTTCCCTGTTTTTCCAGGGTCACTGAACAACTGAGTCTTCTTTTGTTGTTTTCTTTCTCCTGTCGTTGTTGATGCCTAAGATTTGTTTCGTGGTGTTCATTTGTAGTGGGCTGCAAAAACCATGGTTTGTGGCATGTGGGGGTTGATCCAAAGGTCCTTTACATTGGATGTCCATTGAGGAAAACCCCCTAAAAGAAGATATTTCCCACAGGGGAAAAGTTGCCCATAGTCATTTGGGGGCCAACCCCCCATGTGGTTGTTGCGTTTTAGTTGTGTGTGGTTCTGCTCATTTGTAGTGGGCTGCAACAGCCAAGTTTGTTTTTGCTGAAATACAAAGATGTGGGACCTGAAAGCACTGAGGGAAAGAATAGGACCACTCTAAAATGGTTGCTTTTCTTGTGTTTGCCTTCTCATTCGCATCAGGGGTGCGCAATTCGGAAAGCAAAGTCGGGCAAGTGGCCGTTTGTTTTGGCGCTTGCAACTGTTGTTCTGGGAGTGGTCAGGTTCGGCCCTAGAAACGTGCCTTTGCAAACACCTTTGATGTGACGTTACCACAACAGCAATGATGTTTAATGATTTAATGGGAACCCAGGAATCATAAGACCTTGATTGACAAATAGAGGGTATTTTCGGACATCCGCCGTTGGTTATCGCAGGATTCTCATGGCTTCATTCATCCCAACTGGTGCCTGAGAGCTTTTCAAAGGTCCATGAGGCTTGTCCATGAGGTTTCTGAAGATGGATGCCGGACCCCTTTGTCAACCAAACAGCGCAGGAAGATTTGGGCGATTCCTATTTTGGTGGTTTGTGTTTTTGTGCTTGGTACCCCATTTTTGGTATTGGGAAGCCGACAGGAAGCCCGCAAAGGGGTGGGGGTCCCCTACAAAAAAGGCACACATGTCCTCAGTCCTGGACTTTGGTCAGTTTTGTGGGGTTGGACCGACCATTTTAGTCGCAAACAAAAAGTGTTTCGACTTTTTCTTTTGTGGCCAATCTACTCAGGAAGTGAGAGCCAAGCCTGTCAATGCCCTTTGTTGCTTTCAAGTTGTGTTTTTTAGTGAAGGGAACCCCACAGGAAACCCACAAACACGTGGGGCCTACAAAACAAAACACTCACTTTTTGTGCGTTCACTTTCTTTGTGGCTGTTATTCATGGGAAACCCACAACCGCGAAATCGTGGGGAAGGGGGCCCTAAACCAATAAACCCTCAGTGACAGGAAAACCCACAGACCCACCAAATCGCCAGGAGCTCACTTCCTGAGTTCATGAGCTTTATTTTTTTTGGGAAGACCATTTTAGTGGTAAATATATAGTTTGGACTTTTTTTGGGCCATCCACTCCGCCAGTGAGGGAGAAGGTCTACAAAACAAGCGCTCATGTGAAAAAAATGTCCAGTTGAGAATCTCAGCCCGGAGGTCTTTGAGGCTGGCCTGGTGGTTCTTAGCACCGGCATGCAGCCGCCCGGTTTTTGGCGTTTCGTTTTGCCCGGGGGGGGGGGGGGAGTTTTAGTGGTAAACCAACGGATTGAACGTGTTGTGCAAATCCACTCATGAAGTGAGATACGGGTGTGTCTTCAATGTCCACGTGGCTTCCTAATACCAGACAACCGGGGATTCCCTAAAAGTTTACCTTGAGGGTACACCTAAAATCAAAAGTGACATCGCCCAAATTGAAGGGGTCTCCTGTTATTTTGTCACTCACTCTTTATTTGTTTTGATACTAGTCGCCTAGTTACATCCTGGGCTAGACTCAGGATGCTTGCAGTGGTGTGATGTTTGAGGCGGAAACCCCATCCAAGTTGTGAGGAAACTATGGCTGATGTCAACATATTGTCCTTCTTGTTGGGGGGGTAGTGTCCTCTCGGCTTGTCTTTGGGGTTGAAGACTATCCACAAAAGGGTTCCCTTTTTGACGGAAGCTAAGCGAGTTCAGTGTGCTGATCTGGAAGCTTGGAGCTTCGGGGTGTGCATAGGAAGGCACATCGAGGCTTGGCGGCTGCAGAATCTCGGCTTGCAAAAGACCAACGTCTTGAAGATATCTCACTCCCTGAGTTCCGTTTCACTCCACAGTCACAAAGGGTTGGTTGCCATCTAAAAAGTGTAGCAACTTTTTGTGGAAAATTCAACTTCGAAAGTGAGAGAGAGAGAGAGAGACACATATGTGAACAAGTTGGAACAACACGTCCCTATTTGGCCGCTTCGCATCGCTCCCATTTGTAGAAATCGTCCGCAGTCACACCGGAAAAAAGGGCAACACCCTAGCATAGGGAATGTTCTGGAGTGCCTGTCTCGCTTCTGGCAAACATTTAAATGTATTACTTTTCGGGTTGTACCGTTGTACCCCCGCCGTTAGATAGGGTTCCAACGCATGTCCTCCTCTGTTGTACAAGGGACCTGACATTTTTCTTGGCGGGCTCCCCCTTTGCCAGTTTGGAAGAGTGTAGATGCCACATTTTGTCGGTTAGAAGGGAGAGACATGCGACAAATGCGGCAGAGGCAGCCTGTTACATACATATCGCCATACATACATACATACATACATACATACATACATACATACATACATACATACATACATACATACATACATACGTACGTACATACAACACAATGCAATGCAATGCAATGCAATGCAATGCAATGCAATGCAATGCAATGCAATGCAATGCAATGCAATGCAATGCAATGCAATGCAATACAATACAAACAAACATACATACATACATACATACATACATACATACATACATACATACATGCATACATACATACATACATACATACATACATACATACATACATACATACACATACAAATGCATATGCACATACACACACATACACATTTACATATACATCTACATATACATATACATATACATACATATACATACATATACATACATATACATACATATACATGCATATACATACATACATATATATATATACATGCATATACATACATATACATGCATATACGTACATACATACGTACATACATACATACATACATACATACATACACATACACGTTGCTTTGGTGTTGGAGGTTTGTTTGCCTGAGGGTTTTGTCTCAGTTCAGGCTGCTGTCAAGGTATTGCACTCTTCGCCTTTTTGGGGGGTAAGCAGTTAGCACACGAGGAGTCATTGGCTTCCTGCTTTCCGATCCGGGTGCCCCGATTCGGAAAAGCACTGGGAAGCCTTTGAGGCGCAACCAGCCACAAGGAGTGGGTGTCACGGCGAAAAGCTTCTTTGAGGCCTTAGTCTTGCGGCACGCGTGCGACTCAGGCATAGCTTGGGCATCACCAGAGATGGTCAGCTATTCGCATGGGGAGGCGGGTTCCGGGTCGGGCGGGCTGAATTTTTAGTAAAGGTTTAGTGGGTGCCCCCTTTGTTAAAACCGGTCCAGGTTCTACTGTTGTCACTGGTTGCAACTCAGAGTTACAAATCAGTTGGCGAGTCTTCAAACGGGGCAACAGCCTGACGCCTCTGGCTTCCCTTGCTTCAGCAATCGAATGTTAGTCTTGCAGCCGGATGGCATAGCAGCATAGCAGTCAACCTTGCAGACCAGTTGAAGCATGTTGAACACGGCGGGAGTCGTGAAGATACAACGAGCTGCCTGTGGGTTACGACCTCCGCAAGAACCTGGTTCATTGTGCTGCCGCGAGGGCGGGTGGGGGTAGAACCACCTTTCCATCATGTAGGTCCCAAACTTTGTCAGTCAACGAGTCAGTCAGTCAGTCAGTCAGTTTGTCAGTTTGTCAGTTTCGGGTGTGTGTGTGTGTGTTGTTAAACTGGTCTATCGGAGGTATATCGCTGGTATATGAGCATCAATACCTCCCAAACCCATTCCAACTGCCCTTGACATACTATGAATGGTTGCGAAATGCATTTCGCACCACCGTTCAGAAACCCACGGGAATGCTACGATTCCCCGACGTAAATGCCAACCAACATTATCTTGGTGGCTCCCAGCCATCCCCGTAGCTTCTGTCCTTTTAGTCCTTAGTGGTAGTTTCCATTTAACCCACCAACAGTTAGTCACTTTTCGCGGGGGATCAGAAAACCGCAGCCCAGTTCTGGTTTGCATGGCTTCATGTCCCTGCGAGCTGTTTCCCCTGCGGTCCGGATGGTTTTCTGAGAAGAAGCATCCCTGGAAAGAATGGACATGGAAGTGTCCCCTAGAGCACCCCGAAAAAAAACCGCAAGCCGTCAAACCGCCACTTGCCGCGGACTTGCTTTTGGGTATGCATCATTCAATACCGAGACCGCGCAAAAAACATGTGGGGTATGCATCATTCAATACCGAGACCGCGCAAAAAACGCAGATTTGCGGTTTGAGGCTGGCCTCGAGCCAAGCTCAATGCAACGAGTTCCGCTTCTGAGGCAACGACTTCGGGCAGCTGGGCGACGGCACGGTGCTGCCGCGCCTGCGGCCGGCGCCCGTGCTGCCGGCGAAGCGGTTCCGGAGCGCGTCCGCAGGCGGAAGCTGACGCGCGGAAGCGCGGAAGCGCCCATTTCTTTGCTTGTTCTTCTTCTTTTTACGGTCTGGAGCTGTGCTGGGAGGGGTCTTGGGCTCAAGGGGAGGCCCAAAATTGGTGGGGCAGAGGTGTCCGCTCAAGATGAGTTTAGAAATACATGGGTTCCAAGCCAGGACTGGATGGGGCATAGGTGTCCTGTTGAGCTTGATTAGACATAGATGGACAACCACGGGTTTAGATGGGTGTGGCCCGGTTTAAGCCGGGAAAAGAAAAAAAAAACATCGAAGTGTACCCAAAACCAGCTTGGAGATTCTCAGAAAAAGAGTTGGCACACCATCAGATGGGCTCTTCTCAAAAGGGATGCCCCTTTCTGTGGGCGGGGCTCCTCGGAGCAAAAAAAACATGAAATGGACCCTTCCAAATCGAGCCTTGTTTTCAGGTTTTGTCAGGGTCTCTTATGTGTGAGGGAGGGGTGTAGAGTGCTGTGACTTTTGGTTTAGAAGAAGCCTCCTAGCTCACTTCTAGAATACAGGAAGCATTATCCTGCCTGTTTCTGGAAAGCTGTGAACTTGTTGGGTCTGTCGTTTGTTTTTTCACGAAGGCCGCCAGGAGACCGAGCCTCAATGTCGCTGTTCCGAATTGGACATGTGTTTGCTACCCTGGCCCCGGAAATTTGTGCAGTCTTGGAGATCGATTTTGAGAACCTTTCACCTGGAATAGGTATCACCAGGGTTGGTTGCAACATGTGGGTATGTGTTTTGTTGGGGAGTAAGCCAAAAGAAACACTGAACACCATTCCCAGACACCCCCTGCTGCCATCATCTTTGTATGTTCAAACAACTAAGCAAGTGGGCTGAAAATTAGGTGAGAGGTCAACTAACCCCTATCCAGCTTGTAACCATGCCTAGTGCTGCCAGGCAAGACACTATACGTATATACGTACCCTTCGGTATGGCTAGCAGGTTTTGCATGGGGATACATTTGGTTGCCTACAGTCGTTTTGCAAGCACTGATCACTGTGGATGGTTGCGAACTTTGCCTCTCGCACCAGCGAAATGAAACCATGGTTGGAACCACAACGTTTCTTGGCATGTACGTAGGGGAATCGTATCATTCCAGCGCTTCTAACAAGGGTTGAATATTCCCTCATGGCTATTTGGTTGGACGTGGACTTGAACTTTTTGGATGAAATAGTGGAACATCTCCAAGGAGCCACAACAAGTTGACTACGTTTTGCAGAGGGGTCGTTGCAGCAACCAAGATTCAAGTTTGTTCCTTTGTTGAGTTTTGCATCTTGAGCTCAACACGATTTGCGCAGGCTGGTACCACAGCGTGGGTGTGACCAGTGATGGGGAAGTCATGGCCTGGGGCCAGAACAAGCAAGGACTGAGATGGCTTCGTGTTACTCATTGCTTCCGTTTGCTTAAGAATACTCTGTAGTGTTCCCTTTCTGGTTTTAAAGGGAATCGATTTCACTACTTGGCAATATGTTCACGTTCTTTTCCAGGGGGTGAAGAAGCACAAGTTAGAATTTCCCGCATGTTCTGACAAAAAAAAAGAAAGCGACACAACATATGTTAATCTGCTGCATGGAAACCTTCGGTTTGCTCGTTTGTGATCCACGGTTTTGTAGTCAAATAGACAACCCCCGTGAATTGTTGCTCGTCCCACAAAGCCGTTTTTCTTTTTGGAAGGAGATAGTGCGGAGTGTGTCTGTTCCCCGCTTGCAATGTGTTCAGTGCCCCAGATCTTGAATTGTGCTCCACGTTCTCTAAGTTTGGCCCTTTTTCCCACCCCTACAGTAGCTGTATACCCGCCCTTTTTCCCACCAGAGTTGGTGCTGTTCCCCAGCACCCCCCAGCTCTCCAGATCCAACTGGGCTGTGCCCCACTTTTTGCTGGGTTTTTCCTTCAGGACAGCTCGGTGACGGCACCCGCGAGACGCGGCTGGTCCCCCAGCTGGTGCCCGGCCTCGTCGGATCGAACGCCGCTGATGCGGCGGCGGGGTGGCTGCACAGCTGCGCAGTGCTGGAGGATGGACAGGCGCGAAACACAGCAACTCCAGGGCTCCTTAAAAGATACATGTTGCAACCATTTGAAACATGTTACTTTTTCAACACCATTCACAAGGCAATGTTCAGGTGTATAATGTAAGGATCCCTGTTGCCCTATCGCAACAGCAAGAAAATCAACGCAAGGGGCTGACAATACGGTGGATCGACCTCCCAACCTGCAAACCGCCAGTGTTTTTAATGGTTACATCATCCATGCTTCTTGACACGACATCAAGCAGTTTCCCAACCTTGACCAGCCCATGTTTGGACTTTGTCCACCTGACTCGCCCCTCACCCGTTGGAGTTGAATGTTGGTTTCACTCGCGACTGCTGTTCAAACATAAGCGCAGGTGGAATCCCCAACAGCCCCGGAATTTCCTGGATCTTGGCAGAGACCCCATAGCTTTCAGCTGTTGGGGCAAATGCTCTGGGCTGAGAATACAGTGGATCAGCATGGATGGAGCAAAAACGACTCTTCGCTGCAAGCCTGGCTGCTGAAGAGAAGGGGCGAGAATGGGGAGTTCAACCCTTGCAACGGTAGAACCGTTTGGTTCTAAGGCCCGAAGTGTGGCGATTGGGTCTGGGGAGCATCGCAAGTAAACCAACCTGAATTTGAGCTTCCAGAGCTCTTCCACCCCCCCCCCCCCAACAAAAAGGAAGAAGAACACAATTCCCCCACCCCACCCCCAACCCCCCACAACCCAAAAACCTTCCCCAACCCCCCCAAAACTCCCCCAAAACCCTCAAACCCTCAAACCCCTCAAACCCTCAAAGCCCTCAAACCCCAAACCCCCAACCCTCCAACTCTCAAACCCACCAACCCCTCAAACCCCTCAAACCCTCAAACCCCAGAACCCCCTCAAACCCGCAAACCCCCAATCAAACCCCTCCCCTCAAAGCCCCAAAACCAGGCTCGAAGTCAGGCCGCTTTGCGCTTTGGTTTGAGTCCGAGCCCACTCTTTCCAACGGCATGCGCTTGGGACGAACTTCTGGGCTGGGAGTCATCTTATCACCAATGCCCCGCTTGGATTTCCCACGGTGAATATCCCCGCACTCTTGGTGCCCTAAGTGAGAACTACCAACAAACAAAAGTGCGGATCCTCGGGCACCAAAAAATGAGAAACCCTCGGGCACCCCAAATTGGGCTGATTTTTTTTTGCCATCTCCCCCAGTGAGAACTATCCACCGCAAATTTCTCAGCCTGACGACTGGAGGCCTGGGCCTGGGGCCAGCTGGTGCAGTGCCTGGAGCCCCTGGAGGCGCCCGGATCGGATGGGGATCGGATGGGGATCGGATGCGGATCGGATGCGGAGGGGGCGATGGTTCCCACGAATGGACGGCCCAACCAGGTACCTTCCATTGGCTGAAACGGGCGACCTTTTAAATCTTGTCGAGTCTGGACATTTGCTGTGGCGCTGATTCTTATTTTTCCTCTTTTTTGGTATACTGTCCCTGTTTTGTGTTAAAGGGAGGCGTTCTCACTATACTGGAAAGCATTTGCTCGCATTTTGCCCAGGGGGCGAAAAGCCAATGTAAGATCTAAGACAACCGGTTGCTGTGTTTCAGTTTTGGGAGGGAGCATGTCCATTTGGGAGGGAGCGTTTTCCTTCCTCCCCCCTTTTTTGGTGTCCCTTGCATACCACCCACCGGTTAAGCGGAAGGAGAGCGAAGAGCTCGAGGTCGTGGAGAGCGAAGAGATCGAAGAGCGGCGATGGCCAAAGTGGTGAGGTCCAGACGGAGCAACAAGAAGGCCAAGAGCGAGGGGCGTGGACAAGGGCGACGCCTACAACGCCAAGGGCTGCGCGAAGGGTTTTTGCCAGTGGGCAAGTGTGAGGGCTACAAGAGATGGCCCCTCTTTTTTCCCACCGCTTGCCTAGGCCCTAGTGCCGGGCATCTCCTTCCCTTTGGGGGGGGCGCCCCTTGCATATCAACTTTACCAACAAAGAAGTGCCCCTTTTTGCGCACCACGGGGGGGGCGGGGGGATATCCAGATAGGGGTAGGGAAAACACCCAGAAGCACACCAAAACATAAGGAGACTGAGGGAGATACGTTTTGTTGCAGCACCAACCCTAGTCCCGTTTAAAGGGCCAAAACTCGGGTGTTCCATCATGCCCATTGTGCCAGTACTTGGATGCCCACGAGTCTTCAAGAATTAGAGAGCGTCTCTTTTTTTTGGTTTCGGGGGGGGGCGCCAATACTGCCAAGGAACCCATATCGTCCCAATATTCCTGGGCGTTTTACCATCCCAACTCATGCATTGGTTTTTCCATCCACACTATGAGGGGTTTAACATTGCCCCCTGATAGCTGCAGGAGGGATTCCCATGCCCAAGGAGATACGGTTGTTTATTGCCAAAGGGCCAACAGTGAAAACTACTATTTTATGATCACTTCCTATTGCTGAAGACTTTGTTTTACCCAGTTGGTTTTAAAGGGAACCTATCACTATGGAAATATGTGTTCTTGTCATTGTGTCTTGTCCAGAGGGCGTAAGCAAAAGGGAGAATAATGACTTGGCCATAGCAAATTCAACTCGGAGACTATATTTGTTCCTTTCTTGGTTGGGAGGCTTCCCATACTAAAATAGACCACGGACAAAAAGTTGGTACTCTTATTCTAACCTCTCAAATCTGGAGGACCTAGCTTATTTGGTCGTGTTGGGCATGTTCGTTGTTTTTTATTTTAGGTTTGGAAGTGAGAACCACTGTGTTTGGGCGTTACAGCAGTGCCCGTCACAAGTGCTACTTCAAAACGGTACACAAGTACAACAATACAGGAGGTTAGGCGTGGAAGCTGAATTCATGTCCGCATATTGTGTTTGTGAACGCAATCCTAAGGGTGATCACCTTTGAATAGACGGGTGCCACTGGTTTGGATTCGTTTTATCATGGCCAGAACCCGCAGAGCACAGAACCTCTCTGGGGGTGTGGGACAAGAGCATTTGGCTTCCCCCTACTTGGATGACCACCCCACTTAAGTGGTTGAACATGGGGTTGCCATCCACCGGATTTAGCAAGTCTCTCATTTTTCCCGGTTCATCAGTTCCCTAAGTCTGGGTGAGATCCACACTGCACGGGGACTGTTTATCCGAGCGTGAATCCCAGGCGTGTCGCCACAATAAGTGACAGCCATGTTCCTTTTGCCCTTTCAAAGGTGGTTCCCTGGGTTGAACATGTAGCATTTCACCTCATGATGGCCCTTTTGGTTACGTGGTTGCCTTGGTTAGTGAAATCGACTCAATGGAAGGATTCTGATGGACGAAAATCTGCAGCACTAAGAAGCCCTGGAAGGAATTGATTTCCCTTCAAATACCCACAAACGTTTCTGGTTTCAACCATGGTTTCATTTAGGTAGTGCGGGAGCCGCATGGATTTTGTAGCCATCCACAGCATTAACCAGCTACTCAGTTGTTCAGTGGCACCCCCATTCTCTTTCCTTTTCTTGGGTGGCCCCATTAAAAAGGGTCCCCAACAAAGGGTTCCCTTTTTTTGCCAGGGTCACTGGACATCTGAGGCTCAGTGAGGTGTCGACTCAAACCTTCAGGTCGGCAGCTTCGGCAGCGGCCAGGCCGCGGCCTGCGGCTACGAGCACAGCCTCTTCCTGACGAAGAGCGGGGAGGCGGGGAAGAGCGGAAGCCGAAGCGGAAGCGGAAGCGGAAGCGGGAAGTGGATTCCAGGAAACATATGGCTGTGGTGGTCAAAACCAATGGTACCAAAAATGAGTAGGTGAATTCACCACCCAGTTTAGGCTTCCTTTTTTTGTGATTGGATTGGGATGTTCACTGGGGGTACGGGAATTTTGACCCATGGCCATATTGCAAGCCACAAAAACCATTCCTGCTTGCAGCATTTTTGGGGAAAGAGCATGAAGACCTACACAAGACATGCAGATTAGCAGGGCTCACCCCGGATACTGGCAGCCATTTGGGATTTAGAACCACGCTTCCTGTTTCAAGCTGGCGCGGTTTGGCTCTAGCTCTCAAGGTTTGGCCTTGGGGCCCGCTCGCCACCAGAACGTTGAACTGTTGGAGGGGATTCCTGTTTTGGCAGTGCTCCCCTTGAACTGGGCTTCAGGGACGTTTCTGAGCTAGGGAACCCGCTGTCAAGTGCGAGAAAGTAGCAGGGATGAGAATCCCCCTTGAACACAGAAATGTTCAGGCACCGGCCAAGTTCGAGATGATATCAGCGGTAGGATCCCTGAGTAGGACTCTGCCCCCGCGAACAGTCAGCCAGCATTCAAAAAGTCATGAACTGTCAGTGGGACTGGAGGTTCCAGTCGTATGTTGGTCCATGCTAGGCAACTCTCCCACAGACACAATTAGTATCTAGGCCGTATTTTGCGTTATGAAGCTCTACAGTAGCCCAAAGGTCATGTCGACAGACACAATCGATTTGGCTTGAGAGCAAAGACCCCACGACGAAGATTTGCTTCTTTGTGAAGAAATTCAAGTTTGGGAAGAGTAGGTCGACGTTTGTTTGTGCTGATGTTCCGTTTTTGTTTTTCGTGGTGCTCCTTCAAATGTCTCTGCTCGAGTGTTCGTTCGGCAGCTTTAGTTCGCAGACATTAGAGAGGGGAGACTGGCTTACAGCAGAGGCAGTGGCATCATGGATCCAAGAAAACCTACATTTCGATGATTTAGATATCTATTTGGGGTTCCGGAACCCAACACATGTCATCCAATCTTCCCTACATTTGTCCCTTCATGTTTGTGTCCTCCCTCTCCTCGTCTTCTATGGGCAACCGTTTAATATCTAAGAAATCTGGGTGCCAGGGAAGCATCCTGGTTGTCCACATAGGATCTCACCCACTTTGGTTTGGGCCCCTTAAAGCTTGTCTCAATAGGCTCACTCCCTGAGTTCCTGGACTTCAGTCACTTTTTGGAGTTCATAATGGTCTCGGGCTTGATTGGTCAATTTCTGGGGGTTGTTTCCTTGTCCATTCTTTTCAGCCATCGTTCTTTTCAAAAACCGATCGATGTTTCCCCAGGGTTTGTGGTGGTTTTCGGATCCCTGGATTCAGAATGGGGAAGTTACCCCTAGACAATTGACTTTTGGTTTCACTTGGAACCAAGGAGAAAGGGTGCCAACTCCAAAGTAACAACATATCGGCCTGGTTTTTGGCGAGCTTACCTGGACCTAAAGCCTTGGTGGCTCCCAGCCATCCGGTTCCTTAGCTTTTTAGCTTTTGAGTGTCTAGTGGGGGTTTCCATTTGACCCACTAAAAGTTCTCAACTTTTAGCAGGGGATCTGAGGGTAGCCCAGAAGCGAGGTCTTTCTTTTGTTGAGGATTCCTGATTTCAGTTTTTGGAATTGCACTGAGATTTACAGACCATTCTGTGGATGGACACAATGACGGACACGCTGGAATGACAAGAATACTGATTTCGATGCCAGTTGACAAACCACCAACGTTTGATATTTCTCTTGGACTTTCTTCATCCACAAAGGCGCCACCAATTTTACTTCAAATTCCGGTGACCAAGTCTGGCTCTACCCAAAAAAAGTCGGGGTGCCCCCGTGGGTGGGTTTTTTTTCTCCCCCCCCCCCCCGCACCTCCAGTGGCCGGGGTGACACGTCGGATGCCTCGGAGGTCTTCGCTCTAGGCGGCAACTCCCGGGGCCAGCTGGGGGACGGCACACAGACTGCGCGCCTGGCGCCGGCACCTTCGGCCGCAGAGCATCGGCTTGGTGAAACCACAGGGATGACCCCGGGCTTCTCGGAGGCAACCGGGGGTAGCCTCAAAACACCGGTCTGGAAAGCAAGCGCCGTGTTTTTTGTTTGTCAACTGGCCCCTGTTATTCAACTTACCATTGCGACCTACTAACAAAGTGGGATGTTGAATACTCCTCAGAGCATGGAACTTTGTTTGCTTTGCAGAGATTTTGGCCAAACGGCGGTTGCGCCCCTTGTGAACATCTTGAAGGGCTCCCAGACATGACTCTCGCGGGGTTTTCCTTTGAGGGGCTATGGACCCAGCCGGCAGCTGCAGGGATTTCCAAAAGAAGCTAGCCAACCCCTTGTATTTGGTGGGGAACTTACTCAGTAGTTAAGGTTGTTTTTTCATGCCCCCAAACATAAAAAGTGCCCTTGAGTTTGGGATACCAAGCAATCTAGGTTGTAAAACGAGGATGGAGGATGATTGGGGCACAGGAACATAGAGGCCTGTCTTGCATCAGGTTTCATCCAAGTCGGCTAAAGCTCCGGGGGTAAACCTTCCTCGCTTCTGCCTTTCCAGATCTTCACCCAGAAACCGATGGGTTGAAACAAATCAAAAAAGGTCCCTTGGAAAATTCCATCTCGGCTGTTTTGAGGCCAGAAGCCGAGCAGGCAACTGGCTTGGAGCCTGAAGCTCGTTTACACGGACTGCCCCATAGCTGTTCTCTTTGCGTCCTTTGCCCTACATTATTCGAAGACTTCTTGATAATTGGCCCCTTGACTTAAGCAGAGGTCCATTCTTCAGGAATTACGACCCCAAGCGAAAATGGGATACATATCCTCGCCGTTGTCTTCTACCTAGCCACACACGTGCAATTCAGTGAGCTCCGGTGTTGTTTTGTCGGCTACCGTGGCCGAGGTTCAGGTGCACCTTCCAAATGTGGCGCCAGTCCAAGCAGTGGCCTCGGGGTATTCCCACTGTGTGGCCTTGACCAAAGCAGGCGCATTTGGGGCGGGGCGGTGTGGGGTGTGGTGGGGTTGGCGCGTGGGTGCGCCTATTTTTTGGAGGGACCCTTGTTGGCTATTGTTTGCGTCCCCCTTTTTGAGACAGACTCATACAGCTGGGGTTGCCCAAAGTCAAGCCGCAAATTCCTGCCAGCTGGTAGAGGTGTCCCATGCAGTTGCGTCCAACTGATTACGGAAACTGGGATTCCGTGTTGAAAATAATGATTCCAATTTGCCCACAATTCTTAGGGTTGATTCGAGAAGTCCCATCTTGGTGTCAGAAAAATGGGGCCATGTTGCACATCAAGTCACAGATTGTCCAATGTGTGTCTTGGACTAGCTGGAGATGCTCTCTTCATGCATATGGACCCCAAATGGTGGTTTTCCGTTTACTCTCCCACCAACAAACATGGAAGTGCACAGGTCTCTTTGGTTCGCACTTCCCATGCTAGTGGGAGGGTCGTTCCTTTGAAATCAAGCTACACAACGCAACCCCCGAAACAGGCACACGCCCATATATGAATGTGCGTTGTTTCGAGGGAGCCTTTTGGTGAGATATGTTCAGAGACATCAAATAGAATTCACTGATATGTGGGTGTTTGCCCCCATGAGACAAACCCATATACTCTCACACAAGGGTATGTGACGTCCTTTTGTTGAGGGTACCTTGGTTGTTATGGTTGTATAGGGAAACCACGAAAAAACAACTCCATTTGCAGTGGCATGGCCTTACGGCTACCACTTGCTGTAAGCCAACGGCCAAGCGGGCCCACCATGTTCGACCGTTCCAACCATTCTTGGGTTCAAAATACTGTGGATGGTCGAAATCCTGCACCACCTGAGAAACTATGGAATGATTCACCTGCAATTACCGACCAACAATGGTTTCCCATGGTGTCGTATTTTCCCATCCCTTGGTTTTAAAGGGAATCTATCGCTATTGCGACTTTTTCTTGCAGGGCCTTGTTGTTTGGTGGAACGGTGCTGGCCTTTTGATAATGAACTCATCACTGGTTGCAACTATGCTCTCCTCGGGCAAGTCACTGGTTGAAACTTGGTCTTGGAACGGAATAATTATCCTTTCGGAGGGGCCTCCTTTGTGAGTTTTGGGAGTGACTCTCATGGCAACAGTCGACAAAAAGCAAGGGTTTTGGAAGGGTTGAAACCTTGGCACATACCGTGGATGGTTGTGAATCTCATTTCGGACCTTCCTGAGAAACCCAACGGAATGATTCGATTCCCCAACGTAAATACCAACAAAAACGCTCTGGGTTTCAACCATGGTTTCATTTGGGTGGTGCGAGACTCGCATGGATGTCGATTTCAACCATCAGTAGGTGTGCCCACTTGGAAGATCACCCCATTTTGTTTGTGGCCAATACTGTGGATGGGCGAAATCCTGCACCAACTAAGAAAGCCTGGAATGATTCACCTGCAATTACCGACCAACAATGGTGTTTCAACCATGGATTGAAAGCGGTGCGAAATGGATTTCGCAACCAGTTGAGTCCCCATCGACGGAAGGTCTGTATCTCCCCGCAGGCGAGGTGCTGACTTGGGGTGGCAACGAGTACGGCCAGCTGGGCGATGCCACTCGATTCGCAGCGCACTGGAGCCATAGGTGTCCTTTTTGGTTTGCTTAAAAATAGGTTTGGCCCTGCTTTGGATGGTTGGTTTATGCCCCCTTTACCAGAAAAAACCCATCGATTTTTCCAAAAGGCTCAGTGGGGGGTTCCCCGGGAATCGCCTCAGTTGGAGGGTTTTTTGTCGGTGGCCGGATGGAACTTGGAGTTGGTGCCCCCTTGTTTCCTGGTTTTAAAAACCGACAGGAGAACCAAGCATGAGTCATGGCAGGTACCCCTTGTTGGTTGGAATGGCAAAAAAAACGGAAGGAAGAGCTTTGCCACTTCTCTTGGAGTTGTTGCCCCTTGTTTCCTTTTTTTGAAGCAAACCAACAGGAAGACCTTGAGCATGAGCCAATCCTTGCGGTCCTTGCGGTGTTCTGATCTTCGAGTCCGTTTAGGAAAAAGCCTTGCATGTTGCCAAGGGATGTTAGGACTGAACCACTTTTTGGGTAACCAATGGGGTTTTCCTTACCTCTTAAGAACACAACTTTTCAACTTTTTTGGGGTAACATGGGCTATAGGTCTGTAAAAGATTAGCTTCCCCAGGGCTTGGAGTTTTAAGGGGTAAGTTTCCCCATGAAACCCACGAAAAGTTAGAGACAAGTTCCCAGAGCACAAAGCCACCTTCGAAGGTGCGGAGACCTTCGCGCCTGAGGCCTCGGCCGAAGACCGCCCGGTGCCGCAGAAGGTCTTCCAGCAGGCTTGGGGGCCTCGGGCCATCTGGTTCCGCTTAGCGACTCTTGGTGTTTAGGGGTAGTTTCCACAGGGCTCCGAAAAAAAAGAAAGATCTCCATTTTGCGTCACCGTTTGAGTTACATGGCCGGCTTTTTCAAGACCGGAATCAAGTTGGACACCACCACTTACAAGTTGCAATGTTCAGGTGTGTAATGCAAGGATCCCTGTTCCATTTGACCCACTAAAGGTTAGTCACTTTTAGCAGGGGATCGGAAATCAGGCAGTGGAAGGACTTCAGCTCCAACGCGAAATTTGTTGAACCCTTTCGTCCCCCAGCAATAGGTGCCCTGTTACCAACTTTTTTGGTTGGGAGGGTTCCCCTACTAAAATAAACTATAGAGAAAAGTTGGTACCCTTATTCTAACCTCCCTACTTGGAAAACCTAGCTTTGGTTGGCATCATTTTCAACACATGAGCTCACGATGTAAGATACTTGGGGATCCTTGGATAAATGGCTACCTAGACCGCCAAACAACCCACACAAGAAGGGAACTGCCACCATTTTGTTGGGGCAATATTGATGAGCTATGTGGTTGGATCTTTGGACTTTAACTTTTCGGGAAGCTATGGAACATATCCATTGGACCCACAAAAAGTTGAAGCACACATCCTCAGGGGTCGTTGCAGCAACCAAGTCACCCAAGTCATGCTCCAGTCGAGTGTTCTGGTAAACTCAACCAGCCAAAAAAGGATGCCCTTTTTTCCCATGCCCACTGGGCATCTGAGTAGGGGTCGTTACAGCATGTTACAGCAACCGACCCGTTCCCCATCTGCACTCTGAGTGGGAGGGAGGGGAGGGGGAGGGAGCCCAACTACTTCCTAAATAAGGCTTCATTAAGGGCTCAAAAAGGGCTGATTTGGGCTCCCTCCCCCTCCCCTCCCTCCCCCACAGCCTCCATGAGAGTTTTCTTTCGCTTTGGCCAGAACGACATTGTCGGAGTGGCAGCCGGCTGGCACCACACCGCCTGCTGGGAGTGTGAACGAGGCGCGGCGGTGTTTTTTTTGTGTATGGGGCTGTCACCTCCGTGTCACATCCGGTAAAATAGTGGCGGCTCCCAGCCATCCGGTTCCTTGGCATTTTTAGCTTCTTAGTGTTTAGTGGTAGTTTCCATTTCCTCCACCAAAAGTTAAAGTGTTCGTGGGGGATCCGAGCCAACACAGAACATCACTTGGCACTTCCCAGCCGTCCGGTTCCTTAGGATTGTGTAGTGTGTTGCGCTAGTGGCTCGGGTGTCCATATAGCCCACTGAAGATTGAAACTTTTAGCAGATCAGAAAACGAGCGGCCCAGATCATGCACCAACTATCCCACCGTGCTAGAACTTCCGGTCGGACGGATTGCTGCTCCTAGGTTTGGCTAAGAATGTCCCGCCTTCTTGTGACTGGAACAATGTTTGGAATCGTGTTTGTGGGTATGTATCAGGGGAATCGAATCCTTCCCTTGGGTTTCTTAGGTGGCGCGAAATGAAATCCAATCCAAAGCCTTCTGGGCGGACACTACATGAGGTTTCATGTCAAGCAACGGCTTCGGGGGGTTCCACTTATTAGTTTCCTCTCCCCAGACCTAGGACCCTTTTCTCTCTTTTTCGAGGTGGACGCCCCGGTAGGCTCAAGCGCACCCAAAGAGGCTGCGAACATACATTGGATAGGACATTGAACAAGCCCATGATTTGCCAGTCGAAAAATGTCGTCGTTTAGTGCATGAACACCCTTTGAATTGTTTCAGTTTGGGTGATTTTCTGGGCGGGTTTTTCTGTTTTATGACTGTTTCGGGTGAACTTGAAAATCTGGTCGGTGATTTGGACCTACTGTGGATGGACGAAATCCTGCACCACCCAAGAAACCCTAGAATGATGATTCCCCTGTAAATACCAACAGGCAATGGTTTCTCATGGTCTGAAAGTGGTGCAGGATTTCGTCCATCCACAGTAGCACCTTGGGGGGTGACGTTGAAGTCATGGAGCCGGGCCCACTGAGCTGAGTCCTTTTCGGGGCCACTGAGCCGCAGGCCTGGCGTGGGTCTGGGGCGCCAACCACTTCATGCAGGTCGATGCCACGAAGGACCGGCGTGTCGGCGTGAAGGACGTGTTGCCGTGCCCCGCTCCCTTACTCCTCCCGTCAGTTCCTGGGCTTGTGGACTTGGGAAGACCAACTGAGTGTCAAACAAACAGTTTGTCTGGTTTGGCCAATCCACCCATGAAGTGAGTATATATATATATATGTAGATTGGATCCCCCCAAAAAAACAGCAAAAGAAAAAGCATGGGGCACAATAGGTTGGTGTGTGTTTTTCTGTTCCGAGATCTGGCCTTTCCTTGCCCCTTTGAGTTTCACTCTCTAAAATTCGATCCCGGCTCTGTGGGGTGGGGCTCCCGGGATCTCCCTGAAATTGCTGTTGATACCTGGACCGAATAAAGAGCCTCGTTTGGGAGTTCAGGGAAGCAACAATAGAAAGGGAACCATTTATTTGGCTCCCTCATATTGACACAAATCCATGCCTTTGTGCGGTATCTACGCCTTGTGGCCAGGTTAGTCCCCTTTTGGTTGATGTTTCAAGGCACAGAAGCACCGGAAGTGTTGTGCGTGTGTCTCTTTTTCGCCGACTCATGGCTCCAGGCGAAAAAACATATTTTGAGCTTTCGGACCCGGGGGGGGGGGGGAGATGAGCGGAATCCAATGAGCTAAACGCGCTTGGTGAGCTGGGGCATTGGAACCGAATGGTTGGTCACTACCCAAAATTTTGGTTGGCCATTGACCCATGTTTGATTAAAGGGTCAGAAGGAGACTCCAGGTGGTTTCAGGGTGAAATCACCGCAAAAGAAGGGGGGGGGGGCGGGGGGGGGAGTCCTTCTTTCGCATGCATCCTATCCAACAGATGTTTCTAGGAACCCCAGGTTGTTCTTTGACTGCATGTTCAAGCTGTTCGAGATGGTGCACTTTGGTGTGACAGAAGCAACTGTGTAGCATCGCGGAATATTATTGTTTGCTTCAAAGGCGATGGTGCTTTTTGGTTTGACCAACATAACCCGCAAATGTCAAATAGCCCTCTAGTCTTGGAATGCCAACATTATGACTGTTTCCTCAAAAGCCAGATTGCCGTGTTGCTTGACAGAAAGTGCACTTCTACCCTATGTTATGAAATACCCCTAGAGATGTATTCGCCTGGAGGCCGAACAAGTTTTGTTTCCAGAGGCTCCAATTCGATTGATTTAGGGCCTCATAATTTGTAACCTGGTTTTGAGACCCCCGGTTCCACCGAAGCGGGGTGGGTACATGTGTTTGTTGTGTTGTTTGTTTTTTACTATTTCGGTCTGTCCATCTAGAGGGGGGCTGCGAAAGGTAAGTTATTTTGCTACCATGCCAAGATCTGGGAAGTTGATTAGTTGCGACGTGCACGAATACGCTGTTTTCTTGAAGGCTAGGCGCTAGTTAGTTTGACCGAGCTCTCGCACCCTTGAAAACAGTGCTGTGTCCTAGGCTAGATCTTGTCGTTGTGACCGAAATGAGCGTTTCTTGGGGAAAACCAATGGTTACCATCTGGTTTGACCAACCTAACTTTGAGTTTTTAGCATTGCTTTCTCAAAGCCTGGGCTGCCCTGCTGCATTTTGACTTTCGGTCCTTTCCTTTCGTCATGCGTTATTCCGTTTCGCAAGCCATCTACTCCTTGATCAAAGTGACGCGAGGCTCGGTGCTTGCATGCACCGAAGAGAGCGAAGAGTCTGCCAAGGTCAAGTTAAAGTTGTTTGGGTGTTGCGGATGTCAGGAATATCACCCCCTCAATAGTTGCGAATTGAAGAAGGGCAAAGTGTGCCAAGGGCGAAGCTCTTTGAAAGGAGTTGTGTCTTTTGTGGTTTGGTACACAGCTACCGAGCACACCGGTAGTTGTGAATCGGTTTGTATTTTCCAGATCGGATGTCCAGAATCCACCAACAAAGCGCGGTCAACTCACTCCCCGAGTTCCTGGACTTGACACTTTTGGGGTTTGAAGTGGTAAACAAAGGTGAGTGGAACTAGGTCCCCCAGTGCCCTTGTTCCTTTTCTTTTTTTGGGGGGAGGGTTCGGGACCCTACTAAAAAGACTACAGAAATAAAAAAAAAAAAAAAAAAAAAAAAAAAAGAAAAAAAAACATCGGGTACCCGTATTCTAACCTCCCTGGAGGACTTCGGGAAGCGAGTGAATGAAACGGTTTCCCTCAAGGAACTGGAGCGAACTTTGTAGGAGAACGCGATGACGCCTCAGCCTGTGATCCGGGACTTCCCTTTGCTGATGCATCCTTCCAGGTTTGTCAGGGCCTTGCCTCGGGTCAAGTGTAGCGCAGGGGAGCATGCGCCCCCATCTCATGATGAAGTACACGTGTTGGTGCATTTGTAGGTGAATATGTTGGTGCATTACTTGGTGATCATGTAGGTGCATCTGATGGAATTGGTAGAGCATTCCACTAGGTCAAGTTGCTTTTGTCCTCACAAAAATATTGAATAGTTGCTGAAACCATGGTGCAAATACAACCGCCACCTGGCCCTGTGTTTCAAGGCGAACTAAGAATGATATGGCTTACAACAAGAACAGATTTGTGTTGTACCTTTCCTATTCTCTTCAGGGATCCCGAACAGCCTTGGAAAAGAGATGTTTTTTCTGAAGAAATGGATTCACCCTGCGAACAAAGGAGATGGCGGCATCTAGGGGCTCCTCAAATCAGATTGGTGAAATGATATTCATCCAGATTTATGTATAAGGCGCAGACCACTTCCAAACATCCTCTTTGTCCATACATTATATATATATATACATATACACGTCATTTTCTATAGACTAGATTTGGGACAGAATCAGAACCTCATTTTTATGTTTACTTACCCCAGAAGTGGGCCGAGTGTTGAGTCTTTGTATCCTGCATGCATCCCGTTGCCAAGATCAGCCTTGGCCGGTAAGAGACCCTCAGTTGCAACCAGCGGCATGTCGACAAATCGACCAACAATCGAAGGGTGTGCATTGGCTTCCCCTGCCATGGTCGAAAGGCTCGATGCTGGATCTCCGACTCATGAACAATCTGCCCAGCACCAGTTGGATAGATGAAACCCTATGCTGGTTGATAAAATCACCCGACTGGTGCAAAGTGGATCCTGTCCACACAAGCAGAAATGAGTGGAGCCGCCGTTGATTTTTTTTTCTCTTTTTTTTGGGTAGACTATTTTGACGCCAGGTTTTAATTGTGACTCAGTTAAAGCATTGATCCCTTCCCGTTGGGACAACCTAGTCACCTACCTTGTCTCGTTGAGACCATCCCACGAGCACCGGGCCTCCTTTTCATGTCTCCATCAAGTATCTGATTTTTCATCAGAATCAATTTCAGAAGCACACCAAGCTAGTTGCCGTTTGGGTCTCTCTTTTTTAAGTTGGTACCCTTTTGGCTTGGTGAATAAAGGAACACCAATACTCGGACCACCGAAGCAAATTCTGTGGGTCCAACCGTCAACTTCCATTTGCTTAAGAAGATTGCTTATTTTGCCCTGTTGGTGTTAAAGAGAAACTATCACTATTGGACATGTCTTATTTCTTTTTCAGGGGGCGAAGAAGCAAATGGAAGTCACAACAGACGAGGCGGTCAGTGGCGCACCCGAGGCGGTCTCGTTTCAGCAGCTTCGGGACTTCGATCTGAAAGTGCAGCGTGATGCGAGGAGCGTGTCCCGAAAACTCGGTTTGAGAAGCACAGCCACGATGAAAAATCCGATTCGGGTAGGCTTCTGAAGGTTAAGGGGCAGTCCGAAGTCCCAGCCGGAAATAGTTGCGGGAAGATCCGCCTTAATCCTTGAAGCATGGTTCTGGGTTCATTTGATTGTGACTCACATGGGGATGCGAAAGTGTTTGTCCTTGTTTCCCTAGAGTTGGATTTTGGGTTCCTATCTCAGGAGGGGATCAAGGGCCCAACAAATCGGATGGTTTTTGGGAAACCACAAGCGGTGAGCATGCAACCCAAGAGGCCGAAGTGCCCTTTCTCACCTTTTTGTTGGGGGAGGGTTCCCTTACTAAAATCGACTACAGAAAAAAAATCGGGCACCCTTATTTTCTAACCTTTTTACTGGAGGACCTTAGTTGGTCATGGAGCGAAAGGCGCTGGACGGCCACCATCCTCACAAGGTCCCTTGTCCAACTCCGTGATCGGAACGGTTTTCTTTCTCGAACCAACAGCATCAAAGAATCTTCAGTCGTTTTCAGGAATCCACCCAACCAACAAGTGATTTTTGTTGGGACCCGCTTGCAATGGCCCCAAAGCAGGGTACCAGTTGGTTCTCTCTGCCAGGCTGGGAGGTGCTTTTGGACTGGCGTCAGCAAACCGCACAACTTCGGTAGCTTCCATTTGCTGAAATGAATAATGTATTTTCAGTTATCCCCTGGTTTTCAAGGGAATCTGTCACTATTGGACATATTTGTTTTTTTTCCAGGGGAACTTGAGGAAATGGAAGGAAGGGTGTCCCTTTTAACCCAAAGGAGCCAAGAGGTTGACATGGAAAGCAACAAGTCCACTTGGGTGCAAGTGGTAGGCGTGTTCTCACCAATGGTAGCTGTTTCGGGAATACAGGGCTGGTGTCAGGAACAGGGTCGAGAGTGTCAGGAACAGTGAGTCAAGAATATGGCTGGGAATGTTCCGTGGTGGACGCCCTTTTCAGGAATCAGGTGGTGGATGTGTTTTGCAGGAACAAGGTGGTGGATGTGTTTTGCAGGAACCAGGTGGTGGATGTCTTTCTCAGGAGCCACGCGGTGGACTCTCTTTTCAGGAACCAGGTGGTGGATGGTTTTTTGCAGACTTTTCCGGAACCAGGAGGTGGACTGCTTTTTTGCAGGAAGCCAGGCGGTGGAAGAATGTTATGTTTCAAGGCTGGCTGGGTGGGTTCAGGAAAGGCTGGGGGCTTCAGGAAAATTAGGTGCTCCCGGGAAAGACCGGGCGGTCTCAGGGAAGACTGGGGGGCGAAGATTTTTCAGGAAAAACTGGATGGTTCTGGGAAAGGCTGTGTGGTGTCAGGAAAGGCTGGGGTGTTTCATGAAAGACTAAACCAAACCTAAAACCAACCCTAAACCAACCCTTTCAAAACCAAACCTTAATCAACCCGAAGGGAGCCCTAAACAAGCCCTAAACCTCACCTAAATCAACCCTAAACCATCAGACTTCCAACATCATATGCGACACACACTTTCGTGAAACCACACAGCCTGGCCAGAACCACACGGTCTTTCCTGAAACCGCACGGCGCCTCCTGAAACCACACAGCCTTTCCTGAAACCACCCGGTCTTCCCGAAACCACCACCCAGCCTTTCATGAAACGCCCCAACATGTCCTGGCGCCACACAGCCTTTCCTAAACCACCACCAATTCTTTTTCTGAAACCACCACTTCCTGAAACCACCCAGCCTTTCCTGAAACAACCACCCAGCTACACACCTTTGCTGAAACCGCCCAGCCTTTCCTGAAACCACAGAGCCTCTCCTGAAACCACACACTCTTTCCTGACATCACACGGCGTTTCCTGAAACCACGCATCCTTTTCTGGAACCACGCTGGGCTTTCTCGCTAAAAACAAACCTGAAACTAGGAAACCGCCACCCAGTCTTTCATGACACCACCCAGCCTTTCCTGAAACCACCACCCAGCCTGAAACCACACAGCGTTTCCTGAAACAAAGCAGCCTTTCCTGACTCCACCAAAGCTTTCCTGAAACCACCACCCAGAAGCACCCCAGCCTTTCCTGAAACCACATAGCCCTTCCTATTACCACCCAGGCTTTCCTGAAAGCAGCGCCCAGTCTTCTTGAAATTACACAGCCTTTCCTGAAACTACCCGGTTGTTTCTGTGTGGTTTCCGGCGAGGCAGGTGGCTGACTGTCCTTTTCAGGAACCATGTTTTCAGGAACCAGGAACTGTCCCGCGGTGTTCTCGACTCAGCGTTCCCGACTCCCGGCAAATGTTCCCGACTCGTTATTCTTGACTCGCCCCGAACCCGTGTTCTCACCAGAGAAGATGTGTGCAAGTTGTTAATTGCTTTTTGTTTTCTTCTTCTTTTTTTGAGTATTCAAGAAAGCGGCGGTGGAGTGTGTTTCATACCTCCAAACAAAATTCCCTCCTTCAGTGGGGACGGGGATGGGGGTCTGTTACACGTCTCGCAAGGCTCGTGCGACACGGCCAGGATCTCCTACCCGGTCATGACGGTCCGCAACTGGGCGCAGCGTGTATTTTCATATGTTTAGGGGGTCTCAAAATGACGTTCCTTGGTTGGGAACCAGCCAGCCGCTTCAACTTGGTTTTTTCGTGATGTGTAGTTGGTGCACGTGGTTGGGGTTCAATCTAATCCGCAAGTTAAACTGTGGGATCTGAGGACAGCAGACGCCAATTGAGGGCTGATTTGAGGATGTGAGTGGTTGGGGGTGCTTGCGGGTGGTTGGGGGTTGGGGTGGTTGGGGTGGTTGGGCGGGTTTATGGTCTTCACCCAGAGGGCCATCACGAGAAGCCACGGTGCTTGGCTGGTTGGGGTCTGTCTCTACTTAGCAACAAGGAATGTGCCTAGGTCTCCCAGTAGTGCCCTTTTTGACCCCCTTTTTTGGCTGGGAGGGTTCCCCTACTCAAATAGACTTCAGAAAAAAGGGTACCCTTATTCTACCCACGGAAGACCCAGAAATGGGTGGTATTCCTGCAGTTTCCCTTGAACGCCCGAAATCCGAAGCTTTTTCAAGATCCGCACGTGGTGCGCAGCCTTCCGTTTCACTGGAAGGCCGGAGCTGATTGCCAGGTTTCAGTTAAAAGAAGTGACCAAACTTCAAGTGATAAATTTGGTGAAGGAAGTTCTGACCGAAGGGCTCGAAATGAACCTTTTGGTGGTCTGGTGCTCTGGTGGTCTGGTGCTCTCCGGGGGCCGCGAGGGCTTCCTTTCTTGAGAATCCATCTTTCTACTTTTCAATTCGGAATCCATTTGTTTGACTGGCATACTATTTGCCTCTCTGGTTCACGAGCAGCAGGTTCCTTAGGGTACTTGGCATACTTCCGGTTTCACCCCATGGCCCAGATACATTTGGGTATGGGTCAAAATCGTCATTGGTTCTATTTACCAAGCCGTTTTGGGGTGACCCGTTTTGTGAGCCACAGCCATTTGCCATACCCCAAGCTTCTTCTTGCTACCCTGCCAGCAATTCACATGGAACCTCTCCAACTGGAGTCCCGGAAGACCAGGTTTTTCTTCGAAAGGGACCGGAAAAGCCCCGAGCCTCAGGTTCCATGTGTCAAGTGGGAGTGGAAGCCGAGAAGAAAAACGCAGGGATCAATCCGTTCTTGGGGTACCTTGCCCGTTCTGTCCAGGGATCCGAATCTTTCTAGAAAACCTCCTTTGAAACCCAGGGAAAACGGAAAAACGGTTATTGAAAAGAACGATGGTTGAAAAGAATGGGCAAGGAATCAGCCCCTAGACTTCTGTCGGCCTTGAAAAACGCACCGAGGCGAAGTGGTGGATCAAGTTGTGCGCCCGGTCGCGGCCCCAGACACTTGAAGCCCGAACCCGTGTTTCTCGCGGGCAACAAAACATCGACCGAAGCAAAATACCTCCCCATTTTCTAGATAGTGTTTTGGGGTGTCTCTCTAAAATCAACCATGAACGGCCAGCTTGGCATCCTGGAGACAGCACCTCTTGACTCGGCCAGAGGCGTTGCGCCCTGAGGCAACTGCGGGACATCGAAACAGCGGCTACGCGCGGATTCTCAACAAGGGCAACCCTTTGCTGCTTGGCGCAATTGAGAGCTACTGGGTCCCCCAGTACTGCCCTTTTTACCAACTTTTTTGGTTTACTAGAATAGACTACGGCAAAAAGGGTACCCTTATTCTAAGCTCTCTACTGGAGGACGTAGGCTATCCTCACTTCCTGAGTTCATGGACTTTCGTCACTTGTTGGTGTTGGACCATTCTAGTGGCAAGCAGCAAGTTTAGACGTTGTCTGGCCAATCCACTCGATCGGAAGTGAGTATCCCATATCCCCAGACCCTTCGGTGTTTGTTTTGCTTTGAAAGGTCTGAAATTGTCCTTGGCCGCAAAAAAAACAGAAGCAGCCCAGGTCTTTTTGGAGGGCCGGAAGACTCAACTCAGTGTGTACAAGGGAAGATATTTGCCACGGCTGTAAGCACCTTTCCCATTCTATCTTCTTCATCAGGAACTTATCTTTTGGGCACTATCTCCTCCCTTCGGTCCCAATTGTAGGAATGCATGAAAGGAATAGGAATGTAATGACCAACAATAATAATCCAAAATAAAAGAAATAAAAAGAAATATAATATAATAAAATAAGCTATGAAAATAATATGATAATAATATGATAATAATATGATAAGAAATTGAGTCATTACAACTGGTTACCTCCTCGTGGCTCTGGAAGCCATCCCAAGTCGACTTTCCTTGTGACTTTTTCCTGTACCTTCATATTCTGGGGATTTTGTACGCACAGCACCAGTGCTGGGTCATCACTGAAGTCTTGGAACCCAAGACATCGCCATGGTTTGTATCAAACGCGTATTGTATCCCTAAGACCTAGACGGGCTGGTTTCCTGCCGTTTTCCAAGAGCCCTCCAACATGCCTTTCCAGCATATCCCAACCCTCCCGCGATAATTGCTTTCATTTGGGGTCCGTACGCACAAAAGCTACGCTCAAAAGCTACGTTTGGAAAGAACAAATATCCCTACAACCTCGACTGGTCCCTTTGCCAGCCCTAAGATGGGTCCCTTCCTTGACTGCTATTGGGTTGGATCTTTAGACTTTCACCTTTTGGTTGAAATCAAGTTTGTTTTTCCACTAACCCCCAAAAAAATGAACTTTTTGCATGGGGGTCGTTGCAGCAATCAAGCCGATTGCCTTTACTTCCATTTGCTTAAGAACATAGTTTATTTTCCCTTGTTGGTTGTAAAACGGATTTTATCACTACTGGACATATGGCTGTGGGTCAAAACCAATGGTAGCATTTTGGGGTAGGTGCACCACCCATTTTAGAACCTTTTTTTAGTGGTTGGATTGGTTGATGTTCACTGGGGGTACGATTTGGCTTTTGACCCATGGCCATATGTTGGAAACTTTGTCGGGGGGTCTTAGCCAAATGAGCCACAATCAAAACCTGGGTAGATGAAGGTTAGTAAGGGGTAGTCCCAGCCAGAAATAGTTGCGGATATCCGCCTTTCTAATTCATGAAGCATGGTTCTGGGTTCACCGAATTTTTGTACCGGGTTTTGAGCAAGTGACTCAAATGGGGTTGCGCAAGTGTTTGTCCTTGTTTCCATAGACTTCGATTTTGGGTTCCCTATGACCCACATGGGAGGATGGGTGACTCAAATGAGAGGATGGGTCCTTCCCATGGAGGCTGGGCGAGGCCTTCATCTCCCACGCCTGGGGCGGCGGCTTCGCCGACTTCACGCAGGCCGTGCTGGAGGCGGACGAGCGAGCGGATGGAGCGGGCCACGGGAGGGCCGAAGGGCTCCCGTGTTTCTCTTTTGTCTAAGGATAGCTTCCCTCTAGGGGCTGTTGGTTCCCCATGTTTTTTTTTTTTTTTTTTTTAAGAAAAAGAACACGTTCTAGGTGCTGATTCCTTGTCCATTCCTTTTGAACCCATGGTTCTTTGTTCAAGAACCGGATCTGCTTCCCCAGGGTTTGGGGTGGTTTTGTAGAAAGATTCGGATGCCTGGATTCGGAATGGGGCAAGTACACCTACATTCCCCATTCTGAATCCAGGGATCCGAATCTTTCCAGAAAACCTCCGGAAATCCAGGGAAAAACGTTATAAAAAAAAAAAAAAAAAACAGTTATTGAAAAGAACGATGGTTGAAAAGAATGGGCAAGGAATCAGCCCCTAGACTTTGGTATTTTTTTTTGAGGGGTTCAAGAGGAAGCCAAGAGTTGAAGCGATTTGGAGGAAACGATTTGGAGCAAGCCATTTGGAGGAAGCCATTTGGAGGAAACGATTCAGAGGAAGCCAGCTGGAGGGTAGCCTTTTGTATATGCATATGGACTTTTTCCAGGAGCAAACCAATACTACTTTGTTTAGACCGCCGTCTATCACCCAAGAAGAAAAAGGGTGACTACCAGAGATTCACCGCCCATTTTGAGGCGTTGCCCTGTTTTGAGACCGTGTGGTTTGGTCTGGGAATCAAGACCAGGCTGTTCACCTAGGCTTGGGGTAGGGGAGACCAATGGAGGGTATAGCATTTTTTGACAATGACATACATACCTACATATAAACATGCAATATGTTTGTTTTTCGTGGAAGCCTTTGAGAAGTGGACGGTGGATATAAAATCCACCATGCATTTATGATGCTCACCAAAGGGTCATCAAACAAGCAAATACATGTTGGGTTTCATGGGGAAAAAGTATCAGGGTGTCGGCTGTTTCCAAAGAGCTGGGCAGAGTTTGGTCAGACTGCAGTATCAGTTTCCGCGAAACATGCACCCGACAAACGTTTGTCGATTGAACTTGCACAGGCAGAGCCTATGGGTGAATGGACGGACACATCAAACATGCATTTCAGACTGTGGTACCAAGACGATGAAGCCCATGATATGCTGAGATGCATCTCCACCGCAGAAGTGTTCAATATTCATGTGAAGGCGGTCCGAGAGACGACACTTCACGTGCCAAGGAGGCAACACCCGACTCGAAAGCAGTCAAAGCAAGTCGTTATGGGGGTCGTCAGTGGAGGTATGATGGCATGGGAAGCAGACGGGAGGGGAGGAGTGTGAAATATGATGACGGTAAACATGATGGCCTTAATCATGTGGAGGTGGTCTTGCCATGCATGATCATGCATATGCATGCATTGTCATTTGGTTTACAATCACAAGTTGATTGTCTTGACCCTGCATGAGTTTGGGTTGCGATGTTTGCTGGGTGTTCACAGATAGCATGTTTCATGGCAACCTCCCCATGCAGTCATGGCAATCTGACACAACGAGTTGGATCCCTCCATGCGTATTTTGTTGAGTTAGCACGACGCAGCGCAACCCAACCCCCCACCACACACCGCACCACTCCTCGCCTCACAGCACATCTTCCCGGACAGTGAAATGACTTGAGTGATGGTGAAACCACCTGTGAGTATACAGTAGATGCCAATTTGCTGTTTCGGGTGCCTCGCAGCACGTTTTTGCCAAACGGTCAAACTACCTGAGAGGCTAGGGTAGATGCCCTTTTTCGGGTCAGTTTGCAGAGTTCCCACCAACTTGGGCCGACTCCCTGGCCAGGTCTTCGAAGCTCGACCCTCGCCGCCCAGCCTTTGGATGGCCTTCCTGGCGCGGGTCTCAAAGCTTGTTGACTTGGAGCTCTAGTCACTTTGATCGTCACTCCGTGGGGTTGGTTGCCATTTTGGTTGTAACTAAAAGGTTTAGACTGTTTTCCTGGCAATCCACTCAGGAAGTGGGTTGGACCATTTTGGTGGGAACTGAAAAGTTGTTCGATTTCTTTTTCGGGCAATCCACTCGTTCAAGTGAATGGTTTGGTTTGGTTTGGTTTGACGCTTTTTCATCTTTCTGGTGGTTGGAAGGGCTTCGGAGCTACTGATCGGGGCTGTGTAAGGACATAGTACTGGCGTGAGTCACTGCAATAATTGGTTCTTCCTTCTTTCAATCCCCTACTTCGGTAAGTTGTTGACTTGCATGATGTGTGGGTGTTTCCTACATGTCTGGATCCCCTTTTGGTTTTGCAACAGCAATGCCAGGACAAGCGGATACTCCCTGTTTGATTTGTTTCAAGCGATCTGTCTTTGGCGTTCAAACTAAAATATATAAGTTAAGGGCAACTTCGCCAATGTTTGCCTCACTCCCTGAGTTCCAGGACGTAAAACTTTTTGCGGAATACCATGTTACTTGGAAGCTCCCAGCTTAGCTTTGTAGCCTTTTAGTGTTTAGTGGAGATTTGCATTTAACCCGGGGATCTGAGGACAGCCCATGTTAGTGGCAAAGAAAAGGTTTGGACCTTGTTTGGCCCATGCGCTAGGGAAGTGAGCTCCTGGATGTTTCGTGATACAGACCTAGAGGGAAAAAGCTGGCTATTGAAAAGCACGTTGGCTGAACATGCAGCGGAATGGCCGTGGGTCAACACCTATGCAATCCCATTTTGGGTTAGGTGCACCACCCATTTTAGAACCTATTTTAGTGGGGATTGGGATGTTCACTGGGGGTACAGGATTTGGACCCATAGCCGGGATTTGACCCATAGCCGCATGAACCCTAGACCAATGTGGGAAGCATTCATCTGCCAATGTTATAGCGGGCCCGCCGATCCGGGGGTATGAGACAGCAAAGTTTAGAAGTGGGTCGACTTGGGACCATTGTATATCTTTGCCATGATGAACAAAGACAATAACCAAATCCTGCTGATGAACGAATTCCAACAAACAATGGTTTGAACCATATCGTTTCTTAGGTGGTTCGAGAATCGGACCTCGTCCAATCGCGGGATTGTCAAAAAAAGAAGGACCCTTTTAACACAAAAGGATTTTTGGACCACCCACCCCGCCCTTACCCCCCCTCCCTCCACCCCACCCACCCTCGCACCCCGCCGACCACCCCCCACTCACCCCTCCCCCCCCACCCCCCGGGTTTTAGTGGAGCCTCGTGAGGCGCTCTCGGTGGACGGCCCCGTGCGCCGCGGCTCCGCGGCCTCGGCCCCCTGGGTGGAGGCGCTGAAGCGCGCCACCAGCGCGCCTCGGACGTCCGACCTCGGCGCTCGGCGAAGGAGTCGGCGCTCAGTCGGCGGGGCCCTTGGCGTCTCCGGGAAAATGGACCGCCACCAAAAAACTCCACGCACCATATATATTTTTTGAAGGTATTGTTTCCCCGGGTTTAGTGGGGAAGACCCACTCTTGGAGGGGAATTGTGGATCAGGTTAGGTCACGGTTGTTGGATAACGGTTCTGTTGTTTTCGCCTGAAACATGGCAGTGCTTATCAGGGTCTTTGGAGGCAATTGGGGGTTCGGGCAGAGGTTGGAATCCTACAGAGAGAAGCTCAAAACCCTTGGATGGGGGTTGTTTCCGCTGAATCACTTCGCGGACTTCGATCATATGAGGCCAAACATGGACATGGACAGCATCAGGGTGCCTGGCATTGGTGCTTCACGAGTTTGAATTTCAAGTGAGTTCACATGCTCATCCCCAAAGTCACCATGCCGTGGTCCCGGGTCCAAGCCACCAACAACATGCAACAACCTGACGTCAGGCAAGTGTCGACAGTGGTAAGGTCAAATTGGTCAACCCACATGCGCCGCTCTGGCAACCCCAATATGGAGTGCCCTTCGCCGCATCGCCTCGTTCACAGCCCAGGTTCTATTGGTGCGAAATCCAAGGAGAGCCCGCGGGAGCTGGGGATTTTTCGGGACGGTCAAAACAAAGCCACGAGACGACCTCATGACTATTGTTGGGAAACATTTTACATTTTTGCTTATTGCGGTTTAGTGGGAAATCCCCACTTAACTGCTAAAGTTGAATTGTTGCTCCCCTTCCAACATCAACCAAGACCTGCAAGACGGGGTTTTGAATAGGCTCGGACCTTGGTCTCAAGGTCCGGCTTTGACCTTTTTGCGCTTGGGTTACCAGCCGGGGTTTTGATAAGTTACGTTGTTTGTTGTTTTCCGCGGCCTTTCTCGGCAGGAGTGATGTCTACCGGCGCCTTTGGTGCGTTGCTTGGCTGCAGGTAGCAAGGAGCCACAATCAAGACCTGGGTAGCTGAAGGCTAAGAGAGGACTTTGGTCACCACAAATTGGTGCAGAGGAGGGGATGTGTTTTCTGGTAGGCCCATCAATTCCCACAAAAACATGCGAACCAGGCAAAGGCCACTCTTGGGCAGAGCAAAGTGGTGCACTCGAAATGGATTTGTCTTGCTAGTGACTCGGAATTGTTTGCCGCGAGGGGTAAGCTTTGCAGTGACAACGGCTGGAGCCACTTCATCCAAGCAGCAAATGAACGAAGGCACAGGGGCCATGGGCTGTTGCCATCCGCCAATAGGTGTCCTTTTTGGTTTGTTTGCTTAACAAATAGAGGGCCCTGGTTTAGATGGGGGTTGTTCCATTTAAGACGGCCATCGACTTTTCACAAAAGGCCACCTATGACTGCCTCCTCTCATCTTCCAATTCCGAAGTCAAGGGTTGAAGATGCGAAACGGCCGCGGTTCGTTGGAGGGTGCTGGGCCCTGTCTGTGTGCCTCGTCGGCGTCCTAAGTTTGCTCAGGTTTTCGAGCTGCACATGGCGTTCCGCGCCATAGCCGCAGAAAGCACGTGGGAAGAGAGTGGGCGACTGTACAGCAGGGGGCCAAAAAATTGAAAGGAGCTGCAGGATACGTTGAGCAACTCAAATCATAATCAAAGGAGAAACAAAAAAAACAAAACAAAAAACGGGTTGAGACCCCTTTTGGCTAATTTGAATCCTGATCCACTGTCTGACAATTCGGGCGTGTCTTGATGAAATGCGATGTCCGCAACCTGGGCTTCGGTGTTCCCCTTGGCTTCCCTTCAAAAGCACCAAAAAGCGTCCCAAACAAGGACGGATTCCCAAAGCCACGTGGAATCTTTTGGAAGGGTTTCTATTTGCGTTTTAAGCAAAAAACAAGTGTTCCTTTTGATATTAGCCAAGACCGGACTGCCGCCTAACTTCCTCAAGACTCTTGGCTGACGGCCCACACCCATGATGATTGGGCTCTCCGTGTGGTTCATTTCTTGGTTGGTGAACCCAGATCCTGTGGGGTAGGTCGGTAGGTCTACCCTGTTTTGGATGGTTTTTGGTTCACGTCCGCGTCGAGGTCTAGGGCCCGAAGATGTCCTTCGGTCGAAAACATCCCGGAGAAAGCCGCGAAATCCCCAGGTTTCTCAGCCCACGGGCGTGTCCGTTGTTTGAACCTACTCTTTTTGGGGTTACAAAGAACAACCAAGCTGAAAACCACATCTTCTTGGGGTTCCCCCTTGAAGCGCAGTCGCGCCCATGTGCTAGGGACTCTTTGTAATGGAGCTGTTGGACACCTGAAAAAAAATATAAAAAATACAGCGCCATGGCTCGAGATGTTGTGCTCGTCTCTGTGTGAGGCTTGGCTGGGTTGCCTTTACTTCCATTGCTTAAGATTTATTATTTTTTTGTTGATGTTCCCTTGTAGGTTTTAAAAGGAATCTATCACTACTGGAAATATGTTTTTTTGATTTTTGTTTTCCAGGGGTCTTAACCAAATGGAAGTTTAGCTGACCTTCCGGGTGTTGGGAATGAACTGGTGTTGGCGATTCCCTTCAAGGAAACCAACTCGAAAATGGTTTATAGGGCTCGTTCCGTTTCTCGTTCCCTGCCGATGGAACCAGCGAGAGAATGTGAGCTGGGGCCAGGCCTCGCCGCTGACCCCTTTGAGTCGATGAGCCGGGTATAGATAAACCCATTGGATCTATTCGTACCTGGAGTCTCCTTCTGACCCGTAAAAAAATGGTTGGTCATTACCCAAAATAATGGTTGGTCATTGACCCATTTTGTAAGGGTCATGGAGACTCCAGGTATCCATTTGTTCTTGGGTGGAAGTTGCCAACTCATTCATTGTTTCGGGGTACGTGACCCTTTTGGGGGAGAGGGCTCTGTTCCTCAAACCTTGTGGGGTCATTTGCGTGCGAGCAAATGCGGCACAGCCAACTCTAGAATGGGGCGTCCTGACCCCTGGGTCCTAGATTTCAGAATGTAAACGGGATATTCTCCTTGAATGGAGGGTCCCACAAATTTCATCAAGTAAACAGTGATTGAACAGAGCTTCAATCTCCCAATGGTTTGGGTTTTTGTTTTATAGAATCCAACAGAAGACGAGAAAGAAACAACTTCAATATCCCAAAGTTCGCCAGAAACAATGGCATGGGTTCTTTTTTGTTCGGTGCTGTAGGCATCGGCCTGGAAACTTCATTGCGGGTGCACGGGGCCAATGCGCCTCAGACCTGCCGCGAGGCGAGCGAATGGGGGTCACGTTTTCAGCGGCGAGTTGGAATAACTGGGCTCCAAAATGGTTATTTGGCCCAGTGTGTACTTGGGCTCAAGCAATTTAACCCTGGGCTCCTCCAACAATTAACTAGCTTGTAAAATTTGACTAAATCGGACGCACGATTTGATTCAATTTGTCCGGGACGGACCTCGAGAAGCTGGCAAAACCAGGGACGGGCCAACGAGAAAGGTCGAGCTCGGATCGGTTTGCGAGCCAACTCCACATGCTTCCTGAGGCATTCCTGCCGGAGAATGGGAAGCCCAATTTGAGTCAAGGTTCCAACAGTTTGCTCACTTGCCCATGTTTAGTAAGATCCCAAAAGGTTAACCTTTTATTTCCAGGTCTTTTGGGCAGGTGAGTTTGTCATTCATGCCATTTCTGCCGTAAGAGCCCCAAGTGGTTGGAAGTTGTTTGAATGGGAGATTGCAAGAACCACTTGAACCGAATTGCCTGATATTCATGGAGCATGCTTGTAAATACGGTAGTTTCTTGTGTTCGGCCTGTGCAAATTATAGCAAGCTCGCCTTGGGTTATGCCCGAGCGAATACTCATGATGAAGGCTCCTTTGTGACACACATGAGGTTTGTCCAACAAAAGAGCGCTACTATGGGGGGGTTGACTTTGATGGTACAACAATGAGGCCAGTACCAGTACCCAAACGATATGTCTCAAGTTTGGGGGGGCGGCTCAAAATTGTGGTCTTTGTTGTGCGGGCCTGGACAAGGGGTACGCTTAGAAAAAGACAGAAAAGCCACAGCAGCGCCCAACTCTTGGGTGCGTCTGGTTACTTTTTCGGAGATTGGCTTGAAGGGCACCCAGGAAATCCCCAGTCCCAAGGGTCTGAGACAACCACCCGCAGGTCCGGGAAACCGCCCAGTGTAGACTTGGCTGGTCGAAGCCATGGGTTCCTTCAGCTTTTCAGCTTTTTAGCTTTTTAGTGGTTGGATTTCCATTTAGCCCACGAAGGGTGAGTCACTTTTCGCGGAGCCGAAAACGGACAGCACAGTAGCTAAGCTGAGTGGTTTCGCACCTCCGGCTCAGACAGGTGTCTAGTGGTCTTTGGTTGGTCTGGTTGGTTTCCGGTTTTTTAACCCACAAATTGAGAAGCCTTTGAGGTCGGAAAACCGGAAAACGGAGAGCCCCGGTTTGCTTCAAGGGAATCCCTGCAGACGGTGCATTCCCAGACTGCCAAGACCCGAGAAGGTCATTCCCTTCTGATTGGGAAATGAACTGGAAGTGATCCCCTGAGCAGGAAGCCACCGGTTGGATGGTTCTGCTTGGGGTCTTTTTCGTTCCCTGCCTATCGGCCTATCGCAGCAGCCAGGTAGATGGTTGCTCTATAAACCGTCTCCTATGAGCCATCCCCGAGTTGAGTCCAACCAAAACCGGTTCATTCAACCCACTCGACTCGGTGATTCCCTAATGTTGACCCAGGATCTAAGTAGAACCCGTCCCACGGGGTGGAAACCCCTCCGAAAGCGGTCTGAATCCAACCACCAAAAGGGATCAACCAGAATTTCTACTTAGATCCGGGATTCAGATTACCTATCGCACCGATCGCAAGTCGCAAGTTGTTTCCGCTTCGCCGCTTCGGAGGTGAAGATGACCCAAGCAGAGACCTCGGAGCAAGAGGACCAGGCGCCGGAGACTTTGCCCATGCCCGCACCCCTCTCGGCGCGTGTTTGCTTTGTATTGTTTGTGTTGCCTGTGTTTTTGTTTTGTTGCTTACCAGTATTTATGTGTTTTGGGACGGGGATGCCTCAAAAAGCCGGGTTCGTGTTAAAGTTGCGCCCTAAATAGGAACCAGACGGCTCGATGTACCATTTTGCCACCCTTGTGGTTTGATCAGCCTGTAGAGTCTCGGAGTATCCGTGGCGTTTGGCCGAGTAGAACTCGACATAACTCGACCTTTGGAGCAAGACGAGCATGCCTTTATACGCTGCAAATGAATTTTGGGGTGCAATGAAAGGGGTGGCTTGCGACTGAAAATCCACAACACACCATGTAGAGAATGCATCGCCGACATCGTGTCAAGTGTGAAGTACCCAGGGATGCAACCGAGAAAGGGAGAACACTCAGTCTTCGATACGTTTTATGTGTTTTTTGTTAAGTCTTGTTTTCCTTGCTGGTACTTCAGATATCCGATTTTCAAAGGGGATACTGCAAACAACCAAGTGTCGCATAGCAAATACCTGCCTTTTGACTCAGGGGTTGAGATCATCCCAACACTCGGTGCGTATTGGATGTCGCGTCCTCTCTGGTGCCATGTTCGCAGGAATGGATCCACGAGTACTTCGAGCAGAACCCCGGATCCTATGAAGAAGCTGAGCGAGTGGCGAGCCATGTACATAGCACCTTCTATCGCTAACACCAGACCTCCAGTGGCGCCTTTTTGTTCGGTTGATATGGGGGGATGGTTGCGAAATCCGCTTCTCGCACCACCGAAATGAGATCCTGGAAGGATTCGTTTTCCCTGTAAATACCAACAAGCAATGGTTTCCAAGTGGTGCAGGATTTCGTCCATCCACAGTATGGGTGTGCCTTCTGTGGAGAAATCCCAACCCCCTAAAATGGTTGTTTCCCTCTTGGTTTCCCGTTAAAGCAACCCTCAACAAACGACGCACCCATATGTGTGTATCCCGTAAAATCAAGTGAGTCACACTCAAAACCCGGGTAAGTGAAGGTTAGCAAGGGTCAATCTCAACCATAAATAGCTTCGGATATCCGCCTTCTTAATGCTTGAAGCATGGTTCTGGGTCGACCATGCTAATACCGGGTTTTGATTTCGACTCAAATGGTCTTCGCCCTTCTTCAAGGAATGGAACCCTGGTAAATGGAACTTAAGACTAAACCTGTGGTCCCCTGGTGGTCTAATTTTGGCCCGTACCCATATGGGTTTGTCCTTTTTTGGTGTGTTGAGTTGCTTCAAAAGGCAGAAGGTGGGACCTCCCCAAATCATACCCCCGAATCATACCCCCGAATCATACCCCGAATCATACCCCCGAATCATACCCCTTAAAACGTATGCTGCAAGATGCTACTGTTCTTCTACCGTTTTGTGTTCTTCACTGCCTCCACAACAACCACCACCAGCGCTACCCAATACTACCACTACCACTACTACTACTACTACTACTACTACTACTACTACTACTGCTACTACTACTACTACTGCTACTACCGCGACTACGAGTATTACTACCACCCTACCACCGCTACTACCGCGAATCATACCCGCGAATCATACATGCGAATCATACCCCGTACTCAAAGCTTCCGTAAAGATTACAAACCCATATGTATGTATCCTGTGAAATCAAGCCTTCCAAGAACAGGTTCCCTTCTCTGCCCACGGCTATTGGAGGTCTGAGTCCGAGTCTTGCTTCACCAGGCTCATAAATGTGGGCAGGCATGGCCCCCCTCTCTCTGACTGGTGTCCTTCATATGAGTCCTTTTTGGCCGTATGGTTGATTCCTTGAATATTGCATGCGGTTCCCGAAATACTGCAAGCATGAAAGTAGGAAATCGTTTCAATTCCCATGATTTGTGGCTCGTTTACTTGTTGATTTCGCACCCGAGCCGAATTGGCCACCCATGAGAGGTTGTTGATCCACTTGAATCCATTTGACAAACGCCCACTGATGGATTCAAGCACCTGTTCCACGTTTTGATGGTTTCTGTTTTGTGGTTCTTTGGCAAACCTCAAAAAAGCGCACACGCAAACCTGCTTGTCTAGAAGCGATCAAGTAGTTAGAATGGGGTTGTGGATGACTGAAAAGCCAGATTTAGACATGATTGGAGGAGTGAACAAGAATTTCCGGAGCAATATTTAGGCCCTTGTATGACCAGCTGCCAGAAGCATGATGAGTCGTCAGAGGGCGCCATGTCCAATCCATTCGTATCGTTTCAACTTGCGGCATTTGCGCCGAGAAAAGACGCCTCTCCGTCCATTGTGGATCAAAAATAGGTGCCCAAAATGGCTTGCCATGGTAAATGGAAACCCGGACTCAACAATGCGGTTTTTCTGGTGGTTTGATGCTGACCCACGCCCATGTAAGACGACGTATCCCCCCTGGAAGTCTGGGTTTCCTCTTAGAAATGTGCCCGACTTGTCCCAGATATGGCAAAAGGACTCGCTGGGGTTCGGGAGACATGGCTGCGGCTCAAAAAGCCGGTACCAAAATGGCTTGCCCTGGTAAGTGGAAACATGGACCAAAACCTGCGTAGCCCTTGTAATTTTGAGCCCACATATGGTGCGTGTCACGTATTTCACCGTGCGTGTCCCATGGTTTCCCCCGAGTCCGCGGACTCTGGAAGCGTGAGCCTGGGTCTACGTCTTTGGAGATTTGGGTGTGGGGCAAAAAAAAATACGCCACCAGGAAATGGACCGCAGGTTTGAGCCTTTGGCAAGCCACTTACCAGGGCGCTTGCCATTTGGGGTACCAATTTTTGACCCCCTGCTATTTTTCGGGGTTTGTCAGAATTGGTGCAAGCTGCAGGCGCAAAAGGGAGTCCCTATTTAGCTGGTCTCTTCTCTGATTTTGACGGGAATCCCCACACCCAGCCCTGAGTGTTTCCGGATCCCCAACCCCTTTGGGGTTGCCAGGAAGTGTTTGTTCGACCCATGCCATGATTCAAAACCAATGGCATCCCATTTTGGGATCGGTGCAGCACCCATTTTAGGCTTCCTATTTTAGTGGTTGGATTGGTTGATGTTCACGTACGATTTGGGTCTTGACCCATGGCCATATGTGTGTATCCTGTAAATGGAACCCTGGCAAATGGAAGCAACGACTAAAACATCCGGTCCCTTCTTGGTGGTTTTATTTTGACTCATACCCATGTCATCTACTTAGTTGAATGAGGCACATACCGGGTGGAGGCCATTTTTGAGAGACCTTTGCCTCGAGTCATGGCGGAGCCTTATGCCACTTGGCGACAATCAGGGGATGGGGGGAAAATCAGGGGTTTCCTCCGTGTCCCTTGGGAACCTCCAAAAGTGGCAGTTTCAATGGAGACCAGTAGTAAAGTGATCAACTTTTGACCCCTGCAAACCAGTGCAGAAAAAACAACGGAAAACGCAAATGACACTCCAGAGGGTCCTCTAACACAAACTTGTTTGGTTTACCTTTGGTTTGCCATTGGGTTGCCCGAGGCTTGCAATAAGTTTGCCTTTGGTTTGCTTTTGGTTTGCGTTTGGTTTATCTTGAGTTTACCTTTTGTTTGCTTTTGCTTTGCTTTTGGTTTGCGTTTAGTGTACTTTAGGCTTGCCTTTGGTTTGCCTTTGGTTTGCTTTTGGTGCACCTTTGGTTTGCATTTGGTTTGCATTTGGTTTGCATTTGGTTTGCTTTTGGTTTGCTTTTGGTTTGCTTCTGTTTACCTGTGGTTTGCCTTTGGTTTACCTTTGGTTTACCTTTGGTTTACCTTTGGTTTACCTTTGGTTTACCTTTGGTTTCCTTTTGGTTTACCCTCGGTTTGCCTTCGGTTTGCGCTTGGTTTACCCTTGGTTTGACCTTGGCTTGCCCTTAGGTTGCTTTTGGTCTGCTTTTGGTTCACGTTTCACTTACATTTGTTGCTTTGTTTTTGGTCAGCTTTGGCTTGCTTCGGTTTGCGTTTGGTTATATGGATTGCCTTTGGTTTGTGTTTGGTTTCCTTTTCAATTACCGTTGGTTTGCCTTTGGATTGCCTCTAGTTTACATTTGGTTGCCTTTGGTCTCCTTTTGGTTTACCTTCGGTTTGACTTTGGATGAATTTGGTTTGCATTTGGTTTGCTTTTGGTCAGCTTTTGGTTTGCTTCGGCTTGCTTTTGGTTTATCTTTGCTTTGCTATTGGATTGCCTTTGGTTTGCTATTTATTTACCTCTGGGCTTGCCTTTTGTTTGCCTTTGGTTTACTTTTGGTTTGCATTTGGTTTGACGTTGGTTTGCTTTTGGTTTGCCTTTGGTTGACCTTTTGGTTTAGCTTTGGCTCACCTTTGGTTTGCATTTGGGTTGCCCGTGGCTTGCAGTGGGGTTGCCTTTGGTTTGCTTTTGGTTTGCGTTTGGTTTGAGTTTGGTTTGCCTTTGGTTTGATTGCGTTTTTTTAGTTTCGTTTACCTTCGGTGTGATTTTGCTTTACCTTTCGTTTGCATTTGGTTTGCTCTTAGTTTCGATGGGCCCAAGCCAGCTAGACCCAAGTCGCAGCAAGCCAACATTTGCACAACCCTTCTAAGCGCTGACTCACATGCAAGCAACAACCCAAACCAGCGCTGACTCACATGGCACAAGCAAAAATGACGAGCAGACCAAACAGCATCTCATGGGATTCGATTCCCTTCGCGTAGCCTCCGCCACAAGCGAGCAGCGGCCCAAGCAGCGGCCTAAATATGCGGTTCCACAACACAGCATCACCAGCATGCCCAGCATCACCAGCATGAACTGCGCAGTTAAAACACACCGCGGCATCACCGGCATACCCAGCATCACCGGTCAAAAGGCGGCCAGTTTCGTAGGGCAGCACCCCATTTCCTGTGCTGGAACATGCATTAGTGAAAACCACTCCAAAACTCACCGAACGAGTGGATTGGCCAAAAAACGTCCTCCCGAACTGCTGTGCTCCCCTGTTAGTTTTAAAGGGGATACTCCTCCCACAAATTAACGCAGAAGCTGACACGGGGGTCCTGGTTTGAACCATGTTCCTTTTAAAGGGACCGGGGCCTTGAACGTCAGGTAGAGTATCACTGCTGAAAAGCTCACTACTAAGAGTATTGCTATTATTTCTACCTGGAGAATCCATGACCCTTTAACTAGACCACGGTTGGCCCGAAAGCATAACATCGCAAGCGAGGTCGGGCAAACGCTGCAGCAACTGACAGAATGGAATCTCGTAGATGCACGAAAAGCTCCCCGCAACTTCTTTCATGATGAGAACTCCTTGCGTCAAACTCCTAGAGGACGAGTGGCCTGAAAGCATAACTCCCCTCGATGTGCGGCAAACCTGTTTAACCCCGGCCTGGCACATGCGCAAGTTGCTCTGCGCAAGTTGCTCTGTGCGAGTTGCAGTGTGTGCAAGTTGCTCTGCGCAAGTTGCTCTGGGCAAGGTGCTCTGCGCAAACTGGTCTGTGCAAGTTGGTCTGCGCAAGTTGCTCTGCGCAAGTTGCTCGGTGCAAGGTGCTCTGTGCAAGTTGCTCCGCGCAAGTTGCTCGGTGCAAATTGCTCCCTGCAAGTGGCTCCCTGCAAGTTGCTCTGTGCAAATTGCTTCCTGTAAGTTGCTCCCTGCAAGTTGCTCTGTGCAAGTTGCTCTGTGCACATCGACCGCGCCGATCTCCGACCACGCCAATCCCCACAGAGGGTCGATTTTCGTGAAGTGTCGTCGGCACTACCCCGCCGCCCTAAGAAGAGATTTTAACTCCTCGCAAGTCAATTGCGCTTGATTCCTTGCACTTGCAACTTGCACTTGACTCCTTGCACTTGCAACTTGCACTTGACTCCATGCACTTGCAACTTGCACTTCACTCCTTGCACTTGCAACTTGCACTTGACTCCTTGCACTTGCAACTTGCACTTGACTCCATGCACTTGGCTCCTTGCAGCTTGCAATGACTCTCATGACTCCTTGCAATGACTCCTTGCAACAACTCCTTGCAATGACTCCTTGCAATGACTCCTTGCAATGACTCCTTGCAATGACTTTCATGATGATGATTCCTTGCAATGACACCTTGTAATGACTCTCATGAGAACAACTCAAGTGAACCCAGCGGAAGAACCCTTCGCCATGCTTTCGCGAAAAATAGGTCCATGACCCCACTTTTTCAAGTAATGACCACATTTTGTTAAGGGTCATGGAGACTCTAGGTATGGGACTAAAATGAATGAAATGGATCCGAAAACGGGCTGACCCGTGTGCAGTCCCAAAGGTTTAAACTACCAGAGGCTGGCTCTGGGGCTTTCAATGGAAGACCCCCCTTCAAAGACCATTTTTACGGGTCAGAAGGAGACTCCAGGGAGATTTTCTTCACAAGTATCACAGAAGTGGTTGGAATCTCCAGGGGTCTCAAAACCCGGTTGATCAACGGGTCCCGATCAACCACCACTCAGATCAGCGTGGCGTTGGTCCCGCTGCTGCCCAGCGTCACCCTGATGTACTTCCGAGCCGCCGCAAGCAACTCGCTCGATTTCGGAACATCGGCGGATCGAACGCCGGTCAAAGACTCACTTGAGCTCTTGGACTTGAGGCTTTCAGATTCCTATGACCTCTTGTGGTCATAGGTGGTCGTTTGTGGAAAAACAAAGACAGGTTGCCCTGGTACATGTAAACCAGGGCCAAACCTATCTGTTTAAGCAAACCCACCAAAAAGGACATGAGTTTGGTGGCAAATGAACAGCTTGAACTTGTTCAAGCCAATCCACTCAGGAAGTGAGCACAACAGAACAGCGGGTTCCCTGTGAACTTGCGCCGTAAGCAAGAAACCGGTGTCAAATCCCCTGTTGGGCTGCTTCATGCGCCTATCCTGTAAAAATGGGGTCATTACCTAAAATAATGGGGTAGTGACCCCATTGTTTAAGGGTCATGGAGACTCCAGGTAGAAATAATAGCAATACGTCCAGTAGTGAACTTTCAAGCAGTGATACTCTCTCACCCTTTTCACATGAAACCTGACTCATTTCTTTTGCTACGTAGGTAAAAGTTGTAACAGACCTGCCATCCACTTCGGATCCGGATCTCTCAAGGCGAGCACCGGAGTGTGGGCGAGCGGGAGCTGCTGCGGCGGCTGGCGCGCATGGTGGGGCCCTTCTACGTGCTTTACTACAAGCCCCAGGTGGGTGTGGCTCAAAATGAAACAAAGTTTGCTACAATTGCGGTTACTATGGCTCCATGTTTCTAGTTGCCCTTTGGTGTCCGCACTTGTTTGAGTTGGTTTCTCTAACTCTGTGCAGGCCATAGTGACATGGGTATGGCTCAAAAGTTTTAACTGGGCTCCTTAAAAGATACATTCTGCCCATTGAAACATGGCTGTTTCCACAGGGAAACCACCATTTACAAGGCAATGTTCAGGTTTTGAGCCACATCCAGGTGTTGGAATTGGACATTTGCAGATTTGCACACGGATGTGGTCTTGGATTTGATGAAATTTGCAGAAGGACGAGTCGGAATTTGCAGATGGATGTCTGGAATTTGCTGCAATTTGCAGATGACGGAAAGCGCTTCTTGAAGCGCTGGGAGTTAGTGTGCGAAGTTGTGGGGGGGGTGGGGGGGGGGGGGGTAACCTCGTTCCGGGTGATTTGCAGGTCTGGTCAGCCGAAAAATACTCCCAAAAAATTGGAGTATTGTTTGGAGCACTTTCTGCCACCGCAAGGCTGGTTTTTGGTGTTTTTCCCTGTGTTTTTGCGCTTTTTCGTCGACGCTGCCTATCATGTCTGACCTTTTCGTCTGTGGCTCTCGCGGGCCAAAAAGCGTGCCAGTTTACATCATTTTACTTTGCTTCCGGCCTCGCCGGACTTGGGCGCACAAGGGGTGCCGGGGATGCAGGGGATGCCGGGCATGCAGGGGATGTCGCTTGTTTTGGAAGTTTTTGTGGTGGTCGGCGATGCTGGGGATGTCGCAGGAAAAATACTCCCATTTTTTGGGAGTATTTGTTGGAGCACTTTCTGCCACCGCAAGGCTGGTTTGCAGGTCCCAGGGAGACGACACGGGGTGTGTAAGTACGGGCGCTGGTTTGGGTTGTTGCTTGTATGTGATTCAGTGCAGGAGGGTTGTGCAGTTGTTGGTTTGCTCTGACTTGGGTCAAGCTGGCAAGGGACAGCAAGGCAGAGCAAGGCAAACCAAGGGAAAGCAAGGGCAAAGGAAGCGAAAGTAGGGGAAAGCAAGCCAGGCAAGGGAAAGCAAGGCAAAGCAAGGGACAGCAATGGACAGCAAGGGAAAAAAGCAACAGCACGGGCAAAACAAGTCAAAGCAAAGGAAAGCAAGGGACAGCAAGGGACAGCAACAAAAAAGCAAGGGAAAGCAAGGGAAACACAAGGGAAAGCAAGGGACAGCAAGGGAAAGCAAGCGAAAGCACAGGCAAAGCAAGGCAAAGCAAAGGAAAGCAAGGGACAGCAAGCCAGGGACTGCAAGGGAAATCAGGGGAAAGCAAGGGAAAGGGAAAGCAATGGAAAGCAAGGCAACGCAAAGGAAAGCCAGGACAAGCAAAGGAAAGCAACGGACCGCAAGGGACAGCAAGGGAAAGCAAGGGAAACCAAGGGAAAGAAAGGGACAGCAAGGGACAGCAAGGGAGAGGGAAAGCAAGGACAATCAAAGGGAAGCATGGGAAGGCAAGCAAAAGCAATGGAAAACAAGGGAGAGCAAGGCAAAGCAAGCAAAAGCACGGGCAAAGCAAGGCAAAGCAAAGGAACAGAAGGGACAGCAAGGGAAAGGGAAAACAAGGGAAAGCAAAGACAAGCAAAGGAAAGCAAGGGACAGCAAGGGAAAGCAAGGGAAAACAAGGGAGAGCAAGGCAAAGCAAGCAAAAGCACGGGCAAAGCAAGGGAAAGAAAGGGAAAGGGAAAGCAGGGACAAGCAAACGAAAGCAAGGGACAGCCAGGGAAGGCAAGGGAAAGCAAGGGAAAACAAGGGAGAAAGGGAAAACAAGTGAAAGCAAGGGATAGCAGGGCAAAGAAAGCAAAAGCATGGGCAAAGCAACGCAAAGCAAAGGAACACAAGGGAAAGGAAGGGACAGCAAGGCAAAGCAAGCAAAAGCACGGGCAAAGCAAGGCAAAGCAAGGGAAAGCAAGAGACAGCAAGACAGCAAGGCAAAGCAAGCAAAAGCAATTTGCACAGAAAGGCAAAGCAAAGGAAAGCAAGGGACAGCAAGGGAACACAAGGGAAAACAAAAGAAAACAAGGGAAAGCAAAGGACAGCAAGGCAAGGGAAGCAAGGGAAAACAAGGTAAAGCAAGGGACGGCAACAAAAAAGCAAGGGAAAGCAAGGGAAACACAAGGGAAAGCAAGGGACAGCAAGGCAAAGCAAGCGAAAACAAGGGAAAGCAAGGGACAGCAAGGCAAAGCAAAGGAAAGCAAGGGACAGCAAGGGAAAGCAAGGAAATGGGAAAGCAACGGAAATGGGAAAGCAACGGAAAGGGAAAGCAACGGAAAGCAATGCAACGCAAGGGAAAAAGCAAGGTCAAGCGAAGGAAGGCAAGGGAAAGCAAGGGAAAACAAGGGAAAGCCATCGCATGCCGTGGCAGGCGCTTTCCGTTGTTTGCCGGACTGGTTTGCAGATGGACGTCTGGACTCCGGACCGTGTATTTGGACTGACCCCGTTCTTGTACCATGACTTTGATGTCACCCACGTTCAGTGGTACGTTAAAGAGAAGCAGCAAACCAACCTCCAGAAACCGAACCAAGAGAATGACCCCGGTTGGATCCCGTGTTCCTTGAATCAAGCTGTCAGAGCTGTTGGGCCAGGGGCCTGGGAGTGGTTGAAACCATTGGACGCTTGTAGCAGCCTGGACCCCCAAGAAACGACTGACCCGTTTTGTTCAGGGACCCGAAAACTTTGCGGACTGAACTTGCAGCTTCTTGACTTTGCTGGTAGTGTTCGTTCTGTCGCATGTTCATCATGGCTTCAGTCCAAACGTGTCCTGGCCAAGTCAACTCAGAGAGGGACCCGCCCTCCAGCCGTTGCTTTCTTCTCTGAACGAAATCGCCTTTAAGCTTTTTCAACACATGACTCCTTTTGAGGGTCAGCCCGACCGTCAAAAGGGAATGGGAGGGATTTGAATCCTCGACGAGACAAATGGAATTGGGAGCCTCAAGGAGCCTCAAGGAGCCTCACTTGGATGAGCATAGCCCAAGGCAAATATCGCTGTCTAACGCGTATAGCCAGTCCCTGTTTGGACTCCCCTTTCTTGGCTTATTTTTGTCTGACCAATTGTTCCTCTGCCAAACAATTGTGTTACGCAGAGGGGCAGAATCGCCCCCTCCCCCCCCCCAAAAAAAAAAGCAAAGAAAGGAAAAGCCGCAGCTTCTTTGGGTGTCTCTTCTTTATGGCTGTTTGGTGGCGGATCTTTGGACTTTACTTTGGGAAGTAGTGGAGCATCTCCAAATCACAAAGTTGAGAGCACTTTTTTCAGGGTGGTTGAAGCAACCAAGCCGTGACTCACTTCTCGAGTTCCTAGACCCTCGGAAGACCATGCGCCCATGGTTGTCAACATCTAGATCGTGCTCCCAGTGAACACCCGATTTCAAGCCAACCACTCAAATAGGAAGCCCGGAATGGATTGAATTCTCACCCAATCCCCGAAATGGGATCAACCGTTAAACCGGTTTTGAGCACATGGTGAGATGCAGATGCTTTGGAGTTTTTACGCGGGAGAGGCGCTGGAGGCCAGGGAGGAGCAAGCGGCGGAGATGAAGTTGAAGCTCGAGAGCCTTACGGAGGAAGAGAGAGACGCCCAGTTGCAAGTGACCTTTCAGGGGCTTAATTAAGTCGTATGGATTGGCTGAATGAACAACTTTTCAGATTTCAGGGCTGGGAGGGGAATACACATATAGTGCTTTTCCAGCAGATGGAAGTTCGAACTGGCTGTCCTTCTTGGATCCCCTGCTACAAGATCTCGTGGGTCAAATGGATACCCAGCCGTATCTTAGCTTGGCGGTTCCTTCCATTTGCGTGTCAGAATACTTATTTATTTCCCCCCTGTTGGTTTTGAAGGAAATCTATCCCTGGAATTAGTGTTCCTTTGTCCAGGCTTAAGCCAATGGAGCGTTCCCAGGCATCCTGGTCATAGGTTTTGAGTTGATTTGGTTGGGTGTCCATTTAACCCAAGTCACACTTTTAGCAGATCCGCCACCATGCTTGCGGGGTTTTCTGGTTTGTCCCATACCCAAATGCGGTGCCCCGCCAAAAGTGGCGCCTTGCCCTTGTCTTGGTGGCTCCCAGCCGTCCCCTTAGTTGTAGTTTCCAATCAACCCACTAAAAGTTTTAGCGGGGGATCTGAGGACAGCCCAGTTGCGGTTGCCCCGAAAAGTTGCCGTCTGTTTTTTTGTTTCGCCCTTGCTCCCCATGGACATCCACTGACCTTTGGATCAATGTTGCAATTATGTGCGCCGTGCTGCTGTGCTGCGCTGTGCGTGCGTTTTGTTTTGTTTTGCTCGTTGGGTTGGTTCCATCCTTTTTGTCTTCCATGTGGGTTTTATGTTGGGTTGAGGCGTTTTGATGGCATCTTCCTGCAAGAGCGAAATTTCGTGAGTGCCCTTCGCTCATGGTAACAGCCTTCAGGAAGGAAAGCCTAGCCCGTTATTTACTTCAGGTGAAGTGAGCCACAATCAAACGCCCGGTAGGTGAAGGTGTTGTTTTTTTCCTGGGATAGTCCCGAGCACAAATGGGCGCCTTCGCCACCGTGTTGAGTCTTTACATGGTTCTGGGATTACGACCAGGAAAAACACCAGGTGTTGGTTGACTCAAGTCATTGAAATTGTTGTCACCCTTTCCCTTCTCGCACATTTGGGCGCGACGTCGTGCGGGCCATGAAATGCTTGAACAGACAAGGGCTCAGTTGTTCAGGGGCACCAATTAGTTTTCCTTTTTTTTGGTGGCTGCCCCACGAAAAATGGTCCAAGCCCCAAAAAGGGTTCCCTTTGTTTCCAGGGTCACTGAACGACAGAACAGGGGTGTCCTCTTTCTCTTCTTCCAAGCCGAGGAAGGTGGCACTGCGCTCCGTTGGCTGGTGCCTTGTGCGGAGACCTGGAACAAGCGGCACCGGCACGAGATGGGCCAATTCCTGGAGGAGGCGGGGTGTCCAACGGCCCATGCTCAGTCCCTGAGCTCACGGACTTCGTTTTTTTTTTGGGGGGGAAGACCCCATTTCAGTACGGCAAATCTGGGTGATCCGGTTCAACTGAGGTTTTGTGTTTCATTGGTTGGGTGTCCATTCAAGCCACAAGCAAAGAACTTGAGCCAAAGATTCAGAGGCTTTGTGGCCAGTCCACTGGGTAGAAGCTCAGCTCAAAGGGGATCCGCAAGAAAACAAGCCGCAGCTGGCCCCCTTTGGGCAAGAAGGTCACGGGAGACTTGCAACAAATGAAGGCAAGCCTCGCGTTCGGAGTTCCGGAACTCGGGCTTAGACCAAAAGCTCAGTTGCTTTTTCAGGGCTCCTTAAAAGATCTCCATGTTGCAAGCATTTGAAACATGGCTGGCTTTTTCAACACCAAAATAGAGGGACACCGCCATTTACAAGGCACTGTTCAGGTGTATAATGTAAGGATCCCTGTTGTTTTGGCCCATCCACTCCGAAAGTGAGAAATGGTGGCTAAGGCAGCCTCCCAAACCCCCAGAACTCACCCCTTGGAATTCCATATGTTGCTGGGCCCCCTCCAAATTGGTTGGGATCCAACTTGGCACCCAAACTCAGTTGTTCAGTGGCACCAATTATGTGTCCCTTTTTTTTGGTGGCTGCCCCACGAAAAATGGTCCAAGCCCCAAAAAGGGTTCCCTTTTTTTCTCGAACAACTGAGTAAACCCACCAACCCTCACAGTCCAAGCACTAGTACTCTGTCTCAAACGTCGATCGGTGGCGTTTGGAGCTGAAGGCGCAGAGTTGCTGGCGACCAGCGCTTTTGTAAACGGAAGGATCCAGGGGTGCTTGTACATACCCCTTTTGCATACCTTGCACAAATGAACCCAAAAGGCTGGCTGATGTTCATGCCCCTTATAAAGTGGCCTGGAAACCATGGAAGCCAAGGGGTATGAACAAGAGGTATGTACTTCCACCCTTAGAAAGGAGTCATTCGCTGGTGAGGCAAAGAATCCAACCCTGCCGGCCAGGAGTCAACAATTCTTCGGACCTGAAAGCTGGATTGAGCTCACCCGGGCAAAAGCGAGATTGCCATGTAGGACCTTACTCTATATGTTCAACTTGGAATTGTATAAAGCTCACTTCCTGAGTTTCTGGACTTTAGTCACTTGTTGGGTTTGGACCAATTTGCTGACTAAAAAGAAAGTTTAGACTTGTTTTGACAAATCTGCACATGAGTGAAAACCAGGCACCTTCTTGTGAAATCCCAATCGCCAAGACTTGAAACCTTACTAATTAACCTTAAAGAAAATATGTCGTGTGAACACAGGGAAGGCCCTAAAATGGGCGGGGTTCCTGTTGACGTTCCTTTAAACCGACCTGAACAGGGTAGCCTCAACCAATGAAGCACGCCCAATTGAGCAGCAATCAAAGTGAGCAGTTTCTTAGATGTTTCGGAGGTGTTCAGTTGGGTTTTGTGTATTTCACAAACACAAGGTAAAAACTTTTAGCATATCAGAAAACCAGTCGCCCAGCCTGACGTGACGCCGTCCAGTTGACCTCCCGCCGATCGAAAGATGCCTCGAGCGCACGGCCAGGTGCTGGGCCTGTGCAACGCTTCCGCCCGGGAAATCAGCGAGGCGAAGTCGAGTTTCCGTGAAACCGACCGGGGTGGCGGTTGCTTCCTTAGAGCTCCTGAGAAGCCCTAGGCATCGTGAGGGAACCCTAAAAAGTCCTGAGTAAAACCGGGAACCCTAGGGAACCCTAGAGAACCCAGGCTTAATCCGAAATAACCCTTTAAACAAATCTGGGGAACTTTCCCTGAGCACAGGGTGAACCAGACTTTTGGCCCATCTGAGGAAGCGAGGAGATTGAATCACACCTGTGCCTCAGTCGAAACCGGAGTAGATGAACTCAGTTGTTCAGTGGCACCAATTCTGTGTCCCTTTTTTTGGTGGCTGCCCCACTAAAAATGGTGAGTGAAGGTAAGTCAGGGATAACCCCAGCCATAGGTGCCTAGCCGCCGCCTTAATGCAAGTCTTCTTTTCTTGGTTCTGGGATTACCTTTCCATTTCAGCACCGGGGTGTTTGATGACTGAAGTTGCTGGTTGTTTTCACCCCTTGCCCTTGAAAAGGGGAGACCCTTTTCTAGCTCCCCCAGTGGTGCCCTTTTACCGTGTCTTTTTTGGGGGAGGGTTCCCCTACTAAAGTAGACTACAGAAAAAAACAAGCGGGTACCCTTATTCTAACCTCTCTACTGGAGGACCTAGTTTTTATACGGTGTTCCGTATGACTCACCATCACCAGGGCGCCTGTTGGTTGCTCTACCTCCTCGCCCCCGACATGGACGAGATCACCCACTTGGCATGCCGCATGGTGCAGGACGACACTTACACGACGCAGCTTGAGACGAAGCTGGCGAGGGCTGTGTGTAGTTTGAGTGTTCCCCTCACTCCCTAAGTTCCTGGCGGTTAACATGTTTGCTTATTGTGGCTTAGTGGTTGAAATCCAACCACTTAACTGCTAAAGTTTGATTTGTTTATCCCCTTCCAACGTCAACCAAGTATTTGGGTTTGGACCATGTTAGTGGTACATAAAAGGTTTGGGTACTTGTTTGGGCCATTCCGCTCGGGAAGCTAGTCCCTTTGTTGGGAAACTAGAAAGAACAATTGTTTCTTCTTTTTTTGTCTGGCGTCCCTGGATTTTGACCAATAGCCTTGTGTTCCTGAGGGGAACCACTGATGGATGGGCTGCCCCGGTGGCTTCCCTTCAATGCCATCCCAAGGGTCGATCCTTAATTTGATGTCTCCCATGGCAGTTTCATGGCCATTTGAGCAGCGGTTTTTTTAAAATGCAGGAGCCAAAAGGAGAGGGGAACTGGCATGGTAGCCGCGTAGCCTACTCCTGGGACCGCGTAGCCTCGCGTAGCCTCCGCGTAGAAACTAGCAAAGGGAGCTGTCGACAATCGTCCGCGTAGCCTCCGCCTAGATCCTTTGTCTTGAGCTCAAGGCGTGTTCAAGGCCACTGGCCCACATGCCTCCTACTACTACTGTTACCATTACTACTACTACTGCTACTACTACTACTACTACTACTGCTACTACTACTACTAGTACTACTACTGCTACCACTACCACTACCACTACCACTACCACTACTACTGCTGCTACCACTACCACTACTACTACCACTGCTCCTGCTACTAATACTTCTACTACTATTACTACTAGTGCTAGTACTAGTACTAGTAGTAGTAGTAGAAGAAGTAGTAGTAGTACTAGTACTAGTACTACTACTACTACTACTACTAGTACTACTACTACTACTACTACTACTACTACTACTACTACTACTTCTTCTGCTACTACGAACTTCCGGTTGCCGACGAGTATTCGCGTAGCCCCGGCGTAGCCCCCCGCGTAGCCACTTATCAACAAATATGTTCCGCGTAGCCTCCGCGTAGCCAAATTCCTAGGGGGAAAGACAGCCGCGTAGCCTCCGCGTAGGTATGTGCTTCCAGTGTATAGGCCCCACACCATTAAAAAAAACACGGCTCATTTGACTTGTTTCGTTCCTTACACGGAGCGATGTTTGGATGGGACATGTAGTGATCCCGCACTCTCTTCAGCATTATTTCGCTGCCTGCTCTCCCATTAATCGAACTGGGCAAACGTGTCGGTTTTCTTTTGCGACTGAATCAACAGTACAACACATGTACAACACAAGGGCCCATTGCTCTGTTAGAACGGTGTTCCCATTCAAATTCACAAGCACGCATGTTTGTTGCCCACTTTGCCTGTTCAATTCCATAAGCGGCAAGAAGAAATGCCGTGTTGTTTTGGTGACACGGGCTTTTGGAGCCCGCGCGCCTTCCATCACAGCAGCTTGAATGATGCGGTTGGGTGAATCACCACCTACAGCGATGGCCCAAGTGCAGTCGGAAGTAGTGTTGCGCAATGTCTCCAGAGCCAGATCCAGGCACTCCAGAAACAAGTGCAGCTTTGTCGTGGCAAGGTGGCAGCAGGATGCTAGCAATTTGCAAGCCTGTTTGGCACCGGTGCCAAGGCTTGGTGTACTGCTGCTTGAGGAAACACATCAAGGTGCCCTGCGTGTCGCATGTCGTGGTGAACGAAACAGAACACCGTCCGCGGGCGGCTTGTTGTTTTCGCCACTCAGGTTTTTTCTTGATAAGTGCCTGGCATCGCATCGCCTGAAGGCTTTCAACAATCTCACGCCGGCTGCGCGCGGTGAATGGATGCTTGCGGCCACTCAGGGGCACGAAGACAGCGAGCGAGTTGTCGGCGAGCCCAGAGCATGGCGTGTTCCGAGCGCATGTAGACCACGTGAGGCGTATTTTGAGCTGCCTAGGAGCGCTTTGGAAGCATGCCATCTTGGCAAAGCCGCACGCAGGGCACACTCAACGGCGGTCAGGTCCCAGGGAAAATCTCTGGCCGAGATGGCTCTAAAACAGCCGTGTTACATTGTGCTTGGAGCACTGGTAATTTTGAGTTTGTTCCCCTTCTCAACGAGCGAAGTTGTCTTTGATTTTCATTCTCTTTGTTTGCCTGCCAGGTTTATGTGCATTCAATGTGCAAAGCAAGGGTGCGGTATTTGCATTTTGCTTTGTCTTGTTTTGGGGCCAGTTCCTTTTCCCCATTTTGCTTTTTCATCAGGAGCTCGAGACGTGCACCCTCGCCCGCTTTTTTCGGGCATGTCAAGAAACCATGGAAAGTTTGTTCCAAACGTGAAACTGAGAAAGCACAGGTGTTTGGAGTGGAGGGCAGTTTCTGACTAAGCGCTGGCCCCCACTTTGGTAATTGCAAACGCTTTGCGTTGCCCGCCTTGGCCAGTCCGCTTTTGGCTGGCTTTGAGGTATACACCGTGATTTTGTTTGTCTTGAAGCCTTGTGTTTGCGTGAGCTGGTTTCCAAGGTAGAGGGTGGGTGCATGTAGAAAATGTGCCCGCTTAACGGGTTTGGACCGGTTTCTGGACGAATTGACGGAGTTGGACCGGCTTTGAAAATTTGATTGGTTTCTAGAGCTCTGTAAATGGGAAGTTGACCAGTTCCTAGCGGTGGCTTGATCGGTTTCTTGGCCGTTTTTTGCAGTTTGTAGAGGGGATGTGGTCACTTTCGAAAGACCGGTTTAAAGGGGATTTGACCGGTTTCTAGAGGGATTTGACCGGAGTTGGATCAGCTTTGAGGGGGGATCGAGGGGCAAAGCCAGCAGGCGCAAGAGGCTGGAGTTGGACGGACAAATTTGGAAGTGGGGAAGGATGCGGATTTGGAGGATCCCGCGCGTTCGTTTGTTTAAGGCTTTTTGTTTAAGGCGCCGCAAGGATGTTCGTTTGTTTAAGGCGCCGCTGGGGACTTTCCACCCTGCGGAGGCGCGCAGTCCGACGTTCGCTGATTGAGAGGGGGTTTGGCGTGGCACGCAGAGGGGAGCTATTAAAAATTATGAAGGTTGGTGGACATGAGCCCCCACTTTCAACGATCCACCAAAACTTCCGGGAACCATGGAGCTTCATTCCCGAGCAGACGAAATGTCGTGGCTTTTGGAGACGCCCTCTCCCAAAAAGACACAAACATCACCCAAACAGGTGTTTGGTTTCCTGTGGTTCCTCGTTGGGCTCCCAGGCTTTCTACGGGCTGATTCCCTTTTTTTCAACTATGGTTCTTTAAAAAAACCGGCTCCGTTTCATTTTTTTGTAGAAAGATTCGGATGCCCCCTTAGAACAACGAGCCAAACGTGCCCAAACCACCTGATCACGACCATATACACAAACCCACATGAGCCACAATCAAACCCCGGGTAAGTGAAGGTTAGTAAGGGACGATCCGAGCCGCAAATAGCTGCGGATATCCACCTTCTTAGTTCTTCACATGGCTCTGGGCCGAGCATTTTTGTACCGGGTTTTGAGCAAGTGACTCAACTGAAGGCGTTATGTTTTTTCCTTTGTCTCCCCGCTACTCGCGAGGTGTTACCTGGGCGCATGCCCTGAGTTGGTCTCGGCGCTGCTGGGCTGCGCCCGCGGCCCGGGCCTCATGCTGCGCAAGTTGGCCCTCCAGGTGTTGAGGCGCGAAGCGCAGCGCCCGCGAAGCCGCTAAGCCTTGCGCGGAGGGGGCGGAGCTTTTTGGTCTTCAGGTGAGTTTTTTGTTTGCTCAAAACCGAGACGGGTAGATGGTTAGGCTAAGGGACAATCCCAACCAAAAATAACGGTGGAGATCCGCCTTCTTAATTATTGAAGCCATTTTAATACCGGGTGTTGATGATGACTCAGGTGTTATTTCGATGTTTTCATGGTTTTGTTTCAGGTGTTTTAAGGGGGAAATGATTGTTCCGGTTCTGCTCTTGTTGTATTTTTCTCCGGTGTTGGCGGGTGTTCAGTTAGCGTTTGTTTGTTCGGTTGTGCGCATTGCTTTTGGGGGGGGTTTTGGTTAGGTTGTTGTGTACGATTTTGGTTTTGGCACTTGGTTGTTAGGTATTCCTGATCCTTCACCAGGTAGTCCTGTCAAGGGTTCCCCTTACAAATCTCCACTGGACGAATCTGTATGGGTACGAAAGTTTGAGGGAGTTTAGTCAGGGAAACCTAAAGGACCACCACGATTTTGAGGGTTCCAACCTGCAAAAAGACAAGTTTTCTCCTACTTGTAAAACTCCAGGCCTCAGAAACTCAGCGACTGTTTGTGCAGGTTACTTCGTCGACCGAGATTCAACCCCCTGTTTGAATAGTGTCCTCTTTGGAGTTGGTGCAGTTGTTGTTTTTTTTGTGGTGCTTCAGGGAAACGAAAAGAACACCTCCACTTCCAATTGTACACCGGGTTCTCTTCTTGCTGGTTCTCAGCAGGGAATGAGAAATGGAATGACCCAAGAAACCATCCCCGATTTGGTTTTCCTTAGAGGAAAGCCCCTTTCGGTTCATCCCAACACCCAGAAGGTCCTTCCCCACTGAACACAAGCAAGTTAAGCACCCGGTGGTTTGAACAGCCTGTGAACAGCCTGTTGGTTCCTCAAGGTATGAATCAACCAACGATTGCACCATTCAATGTGGAAAGTCATTTGAATTAACAACACGAGACACTGCTCATTGATCTTGCTTGTACATGGAGGATCAACGGGCGGCTTTGCTCCTAGCTTCCGCAAGGGAAACCTTGTGTTTAGATCGTCCCAGGATTAGCAAACCAGATGTAAGACAATGTCATGCGAAAGGTCGCCTGATTGCGTCTTACTCACTTGACTGGATTGGACACACAAGTCCAAATGTTCCCCGAACCGTGGCATCCAGAAGCTCCGACCACGACATGTTTGCGCCACTATGGCTTACATGCCCGTTGATCCCAAAAGGGGAGGGCTCAAATATCACCAGAGGTATATTCAGCATTTTCCAGCTTGATAGTGGTTTGTGGCTTGGAAATCCTCTTAGACGGTCTTAGAGCTCCTTGCAAAGATAACTGGTTCTGGTGAACTTAGCCTTATACCTTTTGGAAACAAGTGGCGGTTCCATTAAACCTACCAACGGTCATCAACCTCTTGCTCAGGGGAAGAGCAAACCAGACAATTCCACTTGCATGGTCAAAGGTTGGCGCCTCCAAATCACTGAGGGTCCAGCGCTCGATCCTTCCTGCCAGACGGTGGGTTCCTTGTGGTGTTCCGCGGGTTCGGGATTGGAATTCCAGACCTCGCCTACCCAGATGGCTGGTGTTCTTTTTGGTTTCCCCCTTCAGGGCATCAATAGGACTCACCCGTTGTGTGTGTGCCTGCTTGTTGTGGGCACCCTTTCAGCTGAAATGTTTTGCCGGCAAGTGACATGTGGGCAGTTTGGCCTCAAGAGACTAGGAATCCGACTTTTTGCTGGGCCTGTGTGTTTGAGGAATCGGAACCCAGGACCCCAAGAATGGCGGGTTCAACTATCTTCTTTTGGTTTCCCTTGAAGCACCACAAAACAACCTGCCGCCCGCTTGGTTTTCAAGACTTGCAGGTGCTCGGTTGGAATGACCCAGAGTGTTGGGATGAAACTAGGGATTCCCTTGAATCAAGCCACAAGGGATTGCTTTTATCGGTCATTCCATGTCTCATTCCCTACTGAGCGACAGCAAGAGGAGAACCCGGTGTACACTTGCAAGTGGTGGTTTTTCTTTGGTTTCCTTGAAACACCACACAAAGAAGACGGTACGAATGCCGAGCCACCCTGTTCGTTTCCAACAACTACCCCTGGCCACAGGAGCTGAACTCAGTTGTTCAGTGGCACCAATTGTTTCCCCTTTTTTTTTGGTGCCTCCCCACTAAAAATGGTCTTCCCAGAAAAGGTTCCCTTTTTTCCAGGGTCACTGAACAACTGAGTGAACACCACCCCTGACCGGAGAACTTCGGTGACTCGTTTTCGGCAGGCGTGTGGCGATGGTCGGGGCCGAGCTGCCTCAGGAGCAGCTGCAGGTGCTGCAGGTGCTGCGAGACATCGAGTTTCTGCAGGAGGCGCAAGAGACGGGGGGGGTGGTTGCCCGCGCATCGGTTCCTTAGGTATTGGTTGGTGTTTTAGTCTTTTTGGGGTGTCTTTGGTTTGTTTGGGCGGTTTAGTCGGTTTAGTGGTTGGGCTTCCATTGCAGGTTTCTCACTTCCTGAGTTCATAGGACGTTAGTCACTTTTGGGGGTTGGACCATTTAGTGGCATTCAAAAGTTGTGTAACTATTTTTGGGCCATGTACTCAGGAAGTGAGGTGTTGAGTGGTTTTTAGTTGGTTTTGTGGTTGGCCGTCCGTTCAACCCACGAAAAGTTAAAACTTGTTGAAGGGGATCTGAGGACAGGCCAGCAAAGGGGTGCGAATCCAATGGATCTAGGGCAACCTTCCCCATTCTTTCCAGGGATCCTTCTTCTTCTCAGGAAACCATCAGAAGCCCAGGGGAAACTGCAGGTTTTTGGAAGGAACGATGGTCGGAAAGAATGGTTGGAATCCACCCCTAGAAGAACGTCTTCTTGAAACAGCGGGCGCTCATCCGGGCTGAGCGCCCCCCCCGCGCAAAGACCCATGCGGCATCATGCCGCGTAAGGGCTGTGGCGTGGGTGACAGCGTGGGTTCAGCTACGGTGGATGACCTACATATTGCAAGGGGAATAAGGGAAACCGCAAAATTACGTACCGTGTTTCACCATGCTGCATGGTTGGTTTAATGAAAGATGTCCTTACGATCTGGATGAGGACAGGTCCTGTTGAAAGCCCTCACCTGTCAGCATCGTAAAGCAACCTGAGGTATAGGATGGACATCCCAAGAAATAAAGCGAACGGGTGACTTTGCCACACACATTGAGCTTGCCCTCACGGTGTTTAAACTAGTTGGAGTTACTCATGGAGTATTTGGTCTCATTCCAAAGAGTGTTCTCCCAGGGTATAATGCATAACCCGAAATCTTCACAGTTGTGCTTTGTCCAAGCCAACCGAAAGTGGGACCCCCAATTTTTCAGGAATCAACCGACCAGCAAACAATTCAAGCACAACTGACAATACTGCGGATGGTTGCGAAATCCATTTCGCACCACCTAAGCAACCATGTTGACACCATTGTTTGTATTTCCGTTGGTTGGAATCGTATCATTCCAACTTGGGTTTCTGAACGGTGGTGCGAGAAGCGGGAAATGGATTTCGCTTTCAACCATCCACAATATGGCAGCCCCTGGGCCAGGAAAGATGCAGTATAGTTCTAGGGGTTGATTCCTTGTCCATTCTTTTCAGCCATCGTTCTTTTCAATAACCGATCGCCATTTCCCCAGCTTGTTTGGTGGTTTTCCAGAAAGATTCGGATCCCTGAAAATAATGGAAATGGAAGTGTCCCTAGAACAGTTGTTGTTGTCGTCCAACTTGGATGGCGCAGTCGAGGAATATCATGTGCCCTCAGGAGTCGGTACCGGTCTGTGTAAAGCAAAGGGAGCATGAGCGTTGTTCTAGCAAAGTCCCTGGATGTTCATGCAAGGTCAACAGGCAACCCCTGCTTTTCCTTTTCGGGAAGCCCTGGCTTCTCTCTGGAAGCATCGGCAACATCAATCAGTCCGCTGGAAGTATAGGTCTCCATTGGGAAGCAGGGGGTTCATATCCTTTCAGTTAAGGAAACACACCTAAATGTGCCTCTGCAAACAGGTTGGGCCCCTAGAAAGGGCAAGACAAATTTGGACCCCAACAAGAGGTTCAGGACAACTCCATTAGGCAAAGTGAATTGAACCACCCCCAACATGGAAGCAAGGGAGTGTGCTTCGGCCGCCATCATCAAGCACACGACATGAAAATTGTCAGCTGGGATTGTCCCCAAAGAATCTGTAGTATGGGTACCTTTTTTGGAGTTCATACCCGTTTCAGGTAGGTTTCTAAGGGAAACCAAATGGAACACCACATATGTATGTTTCATTTTTTAATATTGGGGGTGGTCCCCAAAAACACACCCATATGGACTCCTCGCTTTTAGCTGCGCATCTTGTGCTGAAATTGCGCTTCGATGACTTCCATTTCTGGACCCTTTATGGATGTTTGGCATGTGTTTGCCTGTTTGACGGCGAGCTCACCGATTTCGGGGCTCCGTTTTAATGCTGCCAGGAGGTGGATGCAGTTCTGAAGGAGTTTGCGGATTAATTCAAGTTGTTCCAAGGCGGACCGGAGAATTTCAACGAAGAAAGGAGGGAGCCTCCCTCCCTGGGTGACATGTCAAGCAACCCCTCCAGGTTTTGTTGATCCGACATGGGCTGAGTTGACTCATCGCATTCTTTGCAGTGTTCAAAGCAACTTGGGGAGATGTTCTATTGTTTGGTTGGTTTTGCTAATTTGCAGCATGGAGTCCTTTACAGCGATCAACAGATACTGTGGATGGACGAAATCCTGCACCACCTCAGAGATCCTAGGATTCGATTTCCCAACGTAAATGCCAACAAACGTTCTGGTTTCCAAGTGGTGCGAAATGGATTTCGTCCATCCACAGTATGTCAGTTTTTTGTTGTTGTTGTTTTTCGCGCGGAGCCACCGACCAAGCCAGCAATGCCAGCGCGGTTAGCCTGAGTTTGTCATGAGTTTCCAGGATCTATCTTTTTGTTGAGGACTCAGTTGTTCAGTGGCACCAATTATTATTCCATTTTTTGGTGGCTGCCGCACTAAAAATGCTCTTCCCCAAACAGGGTTCCCTTTTTTGTCCAGCGTCACTGAACGGAGGTGATGGTTGGCAGGCTGGATAAAAGATGGCCATTAGGTGTGTGCCTGACTGTCGCCCATGTACATGTTCGTCACCTTAGTGATGCGAATTGAATTGGTCCTTTCCGGGCCCTCTTTTGCGATCAAAACCTTGTAGCCCGATTTGGGGAATGTCGACCCCGGAGAAATAGGTGACTGGTGAGGCTTCGTGCTCTACATGGGACCCTATCCATCAACCAGGGCTTCTGCTTCTTAATCCGGGGTCAACATAGTGTGTGCAAACCGGGCGCAAGTCTGCCCTTACGGACATCAGCAATAAAGCAGACCGTTTGGACCTATTCTTATCCTGCACACAACTCATGGGAGGCTTTTCCCCCCCGAGGGGCTGTCGAATGGGTCACTTGAACCATTTGATGGCTGTTGGGTGGGCGGCAAATTAAGGAATCAGTTCCCCACTGAAACCGGGTTCGCACACCTTCAGGCCCTCTGAGTGGGGGTTCTTTTTGTTGCCCACTTCGCGACGGACTGTGACTGCTGAAGGACCCCAGGCACGGGGCAAAAGGATCCTAGTGATCAGGCCCAGGGTTCCTAGGTCCCCAGCTGCCCTTTCTCTCCCCTTGGGGTGGGAGGGCTCCCTAACATAGACAGAAAAAAGCTAGCAACTTGTTCCAGCCTCACTGGACCTAGTGATACTCAGGCCGGGGTTCCCTTGGACACCTTTTAAGATCAGAGCTTGAGAAGCGCGGACTTGCTTCGAGCTACCCGCTTCTCGCCGAATCCTTCGGCTTCGGCTTCGGCCGCACTTGAGCGTTCTGCTCGCACATCTTGTACCAGCTTTTGGCGGAAGTGGCTCTTTCCACGCTTATTGGATGCCATCCTCTTGAAAAAAATGCCCCTGGTCCTTTTTCAGATTGTCAGATTAGGGGTTTCGGCAATTGATAAGATCTTCCTACTAAGATGTTGGGACCGGAAACCCGGAGAAGGTTTGTTTTAGGGGCTCCCTACGCCTTCCAGATGTGACCGTGCGCTTTGCCAAGCCGCAAATTGGAATCCACGCCTTGTACAGGTCTCTGCGCTCATGAAAAGTGCCATGTACATGCTGCGTGCCTGGAATCCAAATGGAAAATGTAGAGAACCCTAAGATAAACTTGCAAGCCAAAATGTCTCGTCACCCTTCTGGAGTCCTCCTTGAGACACCCAACAAATACTGCACCTTCACCGCGACTTTGGCTGGCAGGAAGCCGGATCATGAGGCATGGCGGATTCCAAGAGCTTGTGCAAGTTGATGGCAGAAGTCCCGCCATAGGTCAAGTTGCCTTTGCCTCCGAAATTCCATTGCCATGCCAATTCCGAGCGCGGCAGAGTTGTCGGCAAAGGCAGGGGTAGGGAAGTGGATCCGGGCCACAATAGGAGACTGCCCCAGCTCAGAGAGAAACATTTAGGCTGTTCAAAGGCAGTCCTTAACCCTTGGGTTACTCAAGGAGCCGGTCCCCTTTGTCAATAGGGATGGATTAGGATTCGCCAACCCTCCATTTTGACCAGCCCAGTTTTACATTGTTTCGTTTGGACCACATCAATAAGCGGTTTGTGGATGACTCGGTTCAACTAGGGGCCGGTCAACACCAATAGATTGAACACAAGGCTTTGGGTTGTCACTCACAGTCCTTCCTCGGGCCGTTTCTGCTGCTCCGAAGGATCATTGGTGGTGATGCGGGGGGGGCGGTCGGTTCAGCCGCCCTGGCTTGACTGTTCCACATGGTTGCATGCTGTGCGACATTCGCTGGATGCATGCGGTTTCCAAGCACCTGAGAGGGACTTTCGATGTAGATGTTCTTAGTTTCAAGCTTTTGGGGGGAGCAGTGGCTACGGATTTCCACAAAGAGGATGTTTTTTCAGCAGATGTTCTTCATTGCGCGGGAATCGGAGGGTGGACCTGAGACTTGCCAGGCTGCTATGCTGAACAGTGTGGAGACGCTTCCTCAGCTTTTCGAGGGAAAGGTCGGTCGCATCAGGCAGCCTCAGGCTCTCTTGATACCCCCCAGCCACAAACCGTCGCCAAACCACTTTGGCAGTTGGCATTTCTGTGGTGTGTCCAAATAATTGATCCTCTACGCGTTCTTGCTGTTGTTCCCTTGACAAGGGCCCACCGAAAAAATTGGGCCTTTCATGAGGAATCCCCTCTAGGAGGGTAGCAGAAACCCTCGGAAACCCTCCCTTTGATCATGTCAACCCACCCCAAACCCCTAAACTAACCAGCCCAAATCCAAGCCAACAACCTATGCGGGGGGCAGAAACCCTCCAGCGTGAATGCTAGGCTGGCCTCACGTAAGAAAACGAACACACGCTTCGTCCCGCCAATCACCAGGAACTCTTTGCCGGAAACAAGCAAAAGGATCGATCTTTGCCTTTCAGAAGCAACACTTGTGTATGGGTCAAGATGCATCCACCCGGATATGGACCGCAGGTTTTCGTCTTTAACTTTGTTCCAAGCCATGGAGTTACCAACTACTGTGGATGGACGAAATCCATTTCGCACAACCTAAGCAACCATGGTTGGCACCATTGTTGGTATTTACGTTGGTTGGAATCGTATCATTCCAACTCGGGTTTCTGAACGGTGCGAGACTCGCGGAGTTCGATTTCAAGCATCGGTATGTTGACCGCCGCGTGAGACAGGCCGATGGACCAGACCGGCGAGCCGGACCTCGCCATGATGCAGGCCTTTCGAGTCGCCGAGAAATCGGCGGCTGGGTCCAGTTGTTGTTCTTTTCTTTGGGGAAGCGGTTTCTTCCATTCGAAGGTCCGTGCCGTTTTCGGCTTCTTCTTCCTTTTTGTTGTTTTTGTTTCTTATTATGTTTTTCTGGGAGGTCTTTATTTGGGGGGGTAAGAGTTGTCTTCCATTCGCGGAATCGATGTCACTGGAAATATTGTCCTGGGGGCGCCACTGGAGGTTTTGGCCCCTTTCGCCAGCTCTCTTGGTAAAAAAACAACACATCGCGTGGATGGTTCAAATCGAAATCCGAAATCGAGTCTCGCGGCGTTCAGTGAGACCAACGTTGAAACCATGGGCGGTATTTACCATGGGATCGAAACATTCCAGCGGGTTTCTGATAAATTAGGTGGCGCGAAATGGATTTCGCAACCAAAAAGTCACAACCCTAGAGGTAAGAGTCCCGTAGCTGCCGTAATTGGCAGCACAAAAGGAAGAAAGCTGACCCCAAATTTATGACACTCCCCCTCCCCTCCCAGCCAATACTAGCATGCCTGGCACCCAGCAAAAAGAACCGAACAAGGACTGTCCGCCACTAAATAACACTAGCTGTTGCGAACACTTCTGCCAATGCGAATTCCCTTTGTCTTAAGGGTTCCACCCCCAAAAGACCACCCAGCCCACCACCCCTCAGATCTACTCCTTTGGCGAGGCCCGGGTCTTCGGCCAAGTCAGGAAGTTGTTGGCCTGAGTGGCCCACTTCACCCTCCCAAGTGAAAATGAGCCTTGCTGTTAGTGGGAGTTCTACCCTTGGCGATCCCCGCTTTTTTTGGGCGAAGCGAACCTCCAAGCAAACAGATCACTGCGGCCAAGCCCCCAAGCCTCCCACCCCCAAACCTTCGGGCCCCGCTTCGGCTCACGAAACCCCCACTTCTGCTCCACTACTGCTCCACTAAAACTGGTCTTCCCCAAAAAAGGTTCCCTTTTCTTGCCAGGGTCACTGAACCACTGAGACACACGACATGAATTTTCCGTCGAGATCCCCAAAGAATCTGCAGTATGGGAGCCTTTGGAGTTCATACCCGTTTCAGGTAGGTAATGACCCGCTTCCCAATGGGAATGGCAGCCCCGTGAAGCCCCGCCGTCGAGGCCATCGCCCGCGTTTGCCTCGCGCTGAACTGCGACGCCCAGCGAGTGGCCCAGGAGCTCCACCTCTGCGCGGCACCTCAGACGTCAGCTCAAGCGCTCGAGAGCCAGCGCTCGAGAGCGAGAGACGGAGAGAGGGACTGGCGCTGGAGGAAAAGGAAATGGGTCCCGGGACTGTGTTCCATTTGCTGAAATGAATATTTTTGTTCTTCTCCCCTGTTGCTTTTTGAAGGGAATCGATTTCACTACTGGACATATTTTTTCCAGGGGTCTCAATGGAAGCTGCAAGGGGGTCCCTAGGTGTGTGTGTGTGTGTGTGAGTAGGGCAAACCCAAAATGGCGCAACGGTGTTACTTTGGGTTTCCCTTCAGAACCACAGAAAGCAAATGGGTAGCAACTCCAAGAGAAAACACACCCAACTACTGTGGATAGTTGCGAAATCTATTTCGCACCACCTCAGGGACCCTGTAAGCATTCGATTTGCCAACGTAAATACCAACACACAATGGTTTCCAAGTGGTGCGAAATGGATTTCGTCCATCCACAGTATGCGTGTGTTGTCGTTGTTTTTAGGGGCCCCACCCAAAAGATTTGGTGGCTTGCAAATGGTGGTTTCCCCTTAAAGCCACAAAGAAGGAGTACTTCAACGAGAGACACACCCATATGTGTGTTGTTTTGTTCAGAGTTTTGCCCAGC